TGTTTATTTACTGCTTTGTCTTTTGAGACAGGGTTTCACTCTGCAGTTTAGGTTGAAGTCATTTTGTAACCCAGGCTGGCCTCAAACTCACAGCGATCTGCCTGCCTCAGCCTCTAAGTGCTGGCAATACAGGTGTGGGCTGCCACACCTGGTGGAAACTGTATTTTGAGACCTGATCCTGCAGTGCTGCCGAGGCTTTGCCCTCATTCCTTAACCAATGCACCTTCCCCTTCAAACATCAACCGTGAGTCGGCAGTGGTGGCTCACACTTGTATTCCTAGCTCCTTGAGAGGCTGAGGCAGAAGGACTGGAGTTCCAGGCCAGCCAGGGCACTTTGGCAAGGGTCTAATTCAAAATAAAAATGGCTGAGGATGTAGCTCTGGGGTAGAGCCCTCACGTTCAGCCTCAGGAGAGGGCAGGCAGGGGTGGAGGACGGGGCAGACCAGAAGGAAGTCAGATACACGTATGTATGTGTATGACTTTACTTACCTGCAAGTGACCCAGCTGCCAGGACAGAAGTCAGATCAGGAGGAATCAGATACCAGCAGAGAGAGGGGAGAGCAGGAGGGCGCCATGACACACTTTATTTTTTAATTTGTAACTTTTATTTTAAAGAGAATAAAACAATAAAATAAAACAGAATAAAGCCAATCAAAACAGAACAGTGAAAGGGATACAGGACTCAAAACCAGGATAATAGGAAATCAACAATGGCTACCATAATAGAATTTGTTATCTTCAAAATACTTGTCCATACCATCAGACACAGTAAAATCAAATAAAACACAGTAAAATCAATCAAAACAGAACATGGAATAAGTCAAAAGAATATGTTGGAACCAAACAAAACAGAATAACATTGGATTTCAAAAACAAGACAGAAGAAAATCCCCCATATTTGCTGTATTGTGTACTATTATCATCCTAGTAGACATTCAGAGCACCAGCCTGAGGGCTGCACAGACAATCAAACAGTACTAGCACTTAGTTGTCCTGGTACCTTAGCTGCTATCAACTCAGCCTGTCCTCCAAGTCACCTGGTTACAAGAGTATAAATCACACCACAATAAACCTGTTTTTCAAAAACAGAAATGGGCTGAGTGTGTACTTCAATGTTAAATTGCTTGCCCAGCACAAGGTCCTGGGTTCAATCACCAGTACGACAAAAAAACAGAGAGATGAGAGGGACAGGGAGAGAAAATATAATCTACTTGCAGGAATAGTTTGCTCAGCCACTTGGACTTTGGTTCCTTTCTCCTGTCGGGACCCTGGGCCTCAGTGGTCCTTAGGGGCTCTTTAGCCTCTCTGAGGACCAGTTAGCTTTTCTTTCTTTCTTTCTTTCTTTCTTTTTTTTTTTTTTTTTTTTTTGTTCTTCCTTGCTGAAGAAGGTCTGCACAGCCACGCACCATCTTACTTCTATTTGTTTTCTGGCAGGATCATACTGCCTACTCAGGGAAGCACCCTCTGACCAGCACAGGGACCTCTGCCCTGGTTCTTTATCAGATTCTGGGGTTGGTGTGAAGGGAATCACAGTGTGCAAGTCCAGGCAGGCCAGTGTCACTCCCCAGGACCCCCTGATGTCTCACCATTCCCAGCTAAGACCAGAGCAGTTCCCACCTGCCAGTTCTAAACTCTCTCCCTCCACTTTTTAAAGAATTTGTATGAATTCTGTACATGCTTTAGATGTCTCCTGCAAATGGGAGTTGGATTGTTTCTGGACACCTACAAGAGATTTGTGGTGGTTTGGGTTTTATTCTTTTTCTTTTAGCTGTATGGGTGAGTGAACCCAGTTCTGCCTGAACCCAGGGCCTGGGGAGGTTCCTGAGGCTGAGAAGAGGAACCTAAACCACCTTCTTGTGGAATAAGTTTGTAGATTCACTGCGTCCTGTTATAGAAAAGGAATTTTCAGGACAGGGCAGTACGACGCTCAGGAAGGCTAAAATGAAAAAATGGGGGGTGGGGAGAAGCAGCTCAGAAAGGCTTTTTTAGGCAGAGATTTCAATACAAACTCAAAGAAACAGTGTGTGTGTGTGTGTGTGTGTGTGTGTGTGTGTGTGTGTGTGTGACAGAGAGGGACCCCAACAGTTTGAATGAGCCCGCTTTCCATCTTTGAGAAATATTTGTATTTTACTTAGATCACAGAGGACGTGTAAGCAGGCCACCAGCAGTCCCCGATAACATGTCAGCAAGTCACAGAGGTCAGCAGGCCATAAGCAGTCCACTGTGGAGATGTTCAACAGATGATGAGTTGTCCCCCAAGGACATATGAGCAGTTAGGAAAGTTCACATTAGCTCACTTTTTCTCCAACTCATCCCTGCAAAAGCCCCCTTCTCCACAAAAAATTCCATCTAAAAAGCCTTTCATCTTTAAGCGACACCTTCTCTGCTCTGCCATCCCAGATAGCTCCCTCTGAGGGTTAGGAACAAATCTGCTTGGACTGTTGAGTTTGAATTCTCTCCCTTTTTTCCACTCAAGTCGTGGACTTTATTTTTTAGGATGGGAAAAATGTATGCTTCTAAGTGTCTGCCTTGCAAGCACACGGCTATGAGTTCGATCCCCAGTACCGCCAAAAAAAAAAAAAAAAAAAAAATGTATGCTTCTCTTGTGAGGGGCTCCAGTTCAATTATTATAGACAGCTAAGTAAGGTAGAAATGTTATAGGCAGTTAGACAGGACTGAGCCCTCAAAAGAGATTTTGTTGTAGAAATAGTCTTTTTTTTTTTTTTTTTCTTTTTCTGACACCAGGGATAAACTCATGACCTTGTGCTTGCCAGGCAGGAGGCTCTTACACCACTGAACGAAATCTCTGGCTCACTGTGCAAATTCCCTTGACAGGGAGCCTCAGTGGCCCCCACTCAGGACCCCTCCTGCAAATCCAGAACCTATTCTTCCTCTCCTTATATCCAATAAAACTCTCCAACTTCCTCCTTTGGTCCGAGACTTCATTCCTAGATGTTGTGAGACACCAAACATCTAACAGGCTGGGGATTATTTCCCTCATAACATTAAAACAAGATAAGAAGAGTGAGACAGGCCCAGGTCCTGAATAGTTAACCTAAAATGAAGTAAAAGTCAGGTCTTAACTGAGTTAGCATACAAGACGGCCCAATTAATCAAACAAACTGTCAGGGTGTGTTATAACCTATATGTAAAAAACCCCTCATAAGTCTCCTTGGAGGCAAAAAAAAAAAAAAAAAAAAAAAAAAAAAAGGATCAAAGGTAACTCTAAGAGCAGAACAGGATGTCTTCCTAATCTAAACTTGCTTGTTTGCAGGGAAACTTGCTTGTTTGCAAGATGTGCCTTCCCCCAGAGGATGTTTGCCTAATCTAAACTTTCTTGTTAGCCCAACCCTTACCTGAACCTTGCTCTTCCCAAGAACTGTAATCACTGTGTTCCTGTTCTGTAGTGTGACACAAACCCACCCCCTCCTTGCATTGTGAGACCAGCAGCTGTCTGAGGTTTTACAAGATACAAACCCTGCCCTTTAGCTGTAAGGCACGCAGTCTTCCATATTGGCTACGGAGGCTGTGTCGCCAGGCCTGGCCTAAAATAAAGCCTTGGCTCCAAATTTCTTAATTTCTTGCTTCCTTGGATTTTATTCCAGGGTCTGAGCTATCACAGGTGTAATAAAATACAACAGAATAAAAACAGATCGCTGGCTAAGCGGGGAGCGGCCTTGAGAAAAAGCACAAACAAACCAGCCTGCTTTCAAAGACCTACAGTGACCAAGGGAATCTTTGCCTTTTGTTGTATAGAAAAAGCACAAACAAAGCAGCCTGCTTTCCAGACATCAAAGGCCTACCGTGACCAAGGGCATCTTTGCTTTCTGTTGTATGCCCTGATAGGAGGAACTACATGACAAAACAAGAGATTTAAATACCTATGGTATTCACTTAACAAGATCCCTCTCCACCTAGTGGGGAGCTTTTCCTTTATTCTTTCTAATAAAAATGCATTTGGCCGTTTCCCCAAAGCTTTCTGTTTGCTGTTGTGTTGACTTCAATCTTCGTTGCCAGAAAACAAAAACCCTAACCGTTAGCCCAGCTTTGAATGTATGTGTGCATGTATGTGTCTCTTGAGAAAAGGTCTCAGCGTATAGCTCAGATTGGTCTTGAACTTGGGACAATCCTTCTGCCTCAGCCTGCCAAGTACTGTGGTTATAGGGATATGTCACCATGCCCACCAGTTTTTATTTTTATTTTATTTTTTTGTCTTTTTTGAGACAGGATCTCACTATGCAGTTCAGGCTGGCCTTGAGCTCACTTTGTAGCCCAGGCTGGACTGGAACTCGCAATGATCCTCCCACTTCAGCCTCCTGAGTGCTGGGATTTTACAGGCGTGAGCCACCACACCTGGCTGCAGTTTTTATTTTTAATAGAAGATTTTCAGTCACCTTAGAGAGAATGGAGGATAGTAAGATTGGGGGGTAGAGGCAGGCGAGGTGAAGCACACCTGTAACCTCATGCATGAGGAGTGGCCTGAATTCAAGGCCAGCCTGAAGTGGATAGTGAGAACCTGTCTCAAAAGAACAGCGAAAGGGCTGGGGATTTAGCTCAGCAGCATAAGCACCTGCCTTGCAAGCAGGCGGTCGTGAGTTCGATCCCCAGTACCGATAAAAAGGTATAAAAAAAAAAAAAAAAAAAAAAAAGAACAACGGAAAACCAAAATCAAAACCAACCAACCAGGGGCAGGAAGTGTGAAGGGGAAAGCGCAGTTTGAACATGGCTGCAATTTCCCAGGGGAGGGAAAGCAGTGGCTTGGAACAGAGAAGAAGTCACATTTCGGAGACAGCTGCGGCAAGGGGGAGAGGATGGGGGAGAAGAGCCCTCGGGCTTCACGGATAACGCCCGTGTCCCCAAGTCCCATAACTGGGCTTACACCAGCCCAGTGCAAGGAATGCCTGCGGTCTATGTTGGGTCCCGGTCGCCTCCTGTTGGCTGCTGCTGGAAGCGGCTGTAATTTGGGGAACTGACTCAGCCTCGCGGGGGTCCGTGGAAGGCCCTGGGGTATGGGAAGCCCCCTTGGCTGCTGCGTGTGTGAGGCTGCATGGCCAGGGGCTTTGGATGGGCCGAGCCTGGCCTTCGCCTGGGGCGGTCTGCGTCAGCTTTTTCACCTCTGGACTGGGTTTGAGCCAAGCTGCTGGAACGCACTAGCAGTGGGGAAGCAGAGACGGTAGATGTGGCACAGCGGGGCAAGAACTCCCCAGCCAGTGCCAGCTCCCCTCAGGGGCAGGGCTCCTGCAGCCAAGCGCTACCTTTTGTTGTCCCCAGCCCGGCCTGGAGGCAGGCATTAGGGGTCCAGGGGCTCCCCCCGTGAGCTCAGGGCGTGCTCGGGGGCGGGGCGTGTCTCTGCAGGGCAGGGTGTGGCCAGTGGTCCAGATGGTCAGTCTCTGGTGTCTTGCAATGGGGAGTTAAAGCCACACTCCTCTCGCAGCTGGCCAGCCGTCAGGCAGTGGGTGGGGAACCCTGAGAGGATAAAACCCACCAGCAGGAGCTAGCAGCTGGGAGGCAAAGTTCCGGCGGTTCCTGGGCTGTCAGCGCAGCCACCCTGCCAGCTTCACTTCCTCCTGCAGCGCGCCGCGCAAAGCCCGGGGAGCCCAGCAACCCGCCTGCCGCCGCCACGCCCTGGCCTCCGCTTGCAGGGTAAGTCCACAGGCAACCCTGAGACACCCGTCCCCCTGGCCTCAGAGTGCACAGTGTCATGCGGGGAAGCCCAAGTGGGCTCCTTTCTTCTCCAGCTTGGAGCAGCCATCTGCACGGAGGCCCCTCCTCCTGGATCTCCAGACCCCTTCCTCTACAGCCCGGCAGGATGGGTGTCCAGGAGGTGGGATGGGGGCTGGAGAGACAGATGTCGCTGCCAGGGCTTGAGAGTTGTGGAGTTTGGGCTGATAGGGAGGCAGAAAGGGCCAGCATTTGTCTGGGGACATAAGCTAGGCTAAGCAGTTCATCGCAGGGCAAGGATCCCCACATGCAGAAGGGGGCGGCTTGCAACTGCAAATCAGGGAAGCCAGGCAGGCCCTGGTGTCCCTTGCTAACTGACTCCTGAGCATCACTGGGGTCAGTGGAAGGCCCTTGAGCACTACTGGGTAGACACATTCCCCCCAGGTTCCCAAGGTGCTGGGACCTAAGGGGCCTGGGAGCGGGCCTGGGCCCAGCACACAGCCTGCCTCTCCCTTTCCTGCCCTTCCTCACTCCCTTCCCTGTCCTCCAGGCTCTGTCTGCCACAGGCTGCCGTCCCCCTAGTCCAGCTGTGGGTCTTTTCCCTTTTCTGTGCTCTGCTCACTGGGGGTCCAGGGGCTCCCCGACCCTGACTAGTTCGCTCCCCACCCCACCCCATGTGATGCAGGCTGTGGTTTCTGTTTTCCTGTGAGGGTGAGGTGGTGCCTCAGCTGACCTCCCTGAGCCCAGCCTGGGGCTTGAGGGGGCAGCTGAGGAGGCTTGGCGGCCAGCGAGGGCCTCTCTGCACTCTGAGCGCCCCAGAGAGGTGGTGTTCTGTGACCTCAGACATGAGTCAGATTGAAAATGCAGAGAGGATCTGAAAGACTCTGAAAACTGAAGAGAAGTGTCATGGTGTAGAGCGAAATGATTTTCAACCCGCCTCTGCCAGCAATGAGTGACCTGAAGAAAATCATTTCCCCTTTGTGAGCCTCAGTTGTCCTGGCAACAAAATGCAGGGCTGGGCGGGCAGTGCTTTCCCAGTGGTTTCCCCGAGATTACTCTCTCACTCGTGGATGCTTGAGTGGCCTGCGCAGCCCAGAAACTGCACTTGGCTGTGCATATTGGACTCTGCAGGGAAAGCTGGGAAAAGTCAGGGATCTTTGTGTGGGGACACATCTCCGAGGCAGCCCGGTGGGTCCCTGCCCCTCTGGCTGCCAGCACACAGGGCCCCCTCCTGCTCCAGCCCTCCCTCCCCTATTCCTCTTCCCTCTGCCTCTTCCTCATGGCCCACTTCCCTTCCCGTCTGGCCTGGAGAGCTCCTGTCTGCTGGTGGACTCCCTTGTTCTTCACGTCTAAACATCTCCTTCTGCAGGCCCAGCCAACCCTTTCCTGACCCGGGGCCAGGAGAGAGCAGGGACCCTGACATCTCCGTCTCCACAGAGCTGCCGGGTGGACCGAGCAGCCTCTTCCCCTTAGGATGACCTCGCCTTCCAGCGCTCCAGCTTTCAGGTTGGAGACGTGGGATGGAGACCAAGAAGGCGGCACTGAGGGGGACAAGGGACAGCATGGGCCACCCCCCATGGAGTCACCATTCCAGGGTGAGGACCGGAACGCCTCCCCTCAGATCAGAGTGAACCTCAAACCCTGGATTAGAGCTGATGGCAGGTGAGGCAGCAGATGAGGAGAGGGTTAAGGGGCCCCCTGCCAGTTCCCACCAAGTACCAGGGCCCTTTCCCATCTCTTGGCTCCAGGGCTCAAGCTGTGCTCTCTGGGGTTGCTCCTGCCAGAACCTTCCACACGCTTGGCCTTCTGCCTTCTGATCCTGTGTGCTTTAGAGGGACGCATTCTTCTAGCTGAGAAGTTTACAATCTCCCTACAATGTCCCATTGGCTTGAGCTCAAGAACCTACCCTGTCATTGCCCTGTAGGGGTGACAGTAGGATCTACAGTCCATCTGGCCCACTGCGAGGGACGTCTAGAAGTGTCCTGGGGACTTTTTGGTTCTGCTCCAGGGCTGAAACTGTCACCCAGGGAGTATGAACCCTGGGGCCAGAGCACGATGGGCTTCTGCATTGGGGTCATCTGTGCTTGAGTATACAGTGGCCCCTACCAGTTCAGACTATGACTCCAGGGATCTTCTAGTGCTGAGGGACAAAGAAGCTGCACCTGGCATCTCTCTTAGTGTGAGGCTTGCTCCACAAGACTGGAGAGTCCAGGCTGGGGACATAGCTTAATGGCATAGCGCCTGCCTGTCAAGTGCAAGGTCCTGAATTCAAGTTCTGGTACAAAAAAAAAAAGACTAGCGATTCCTTTGGGCCCAGATGGCTGCCTGGGAAGGCCCTCCCTCATTCCTCGGGTGAGCATCCATGTGCTGTTTATGTACCAAGATCAGCACTTGTGCAGAGGAGGATGCATAGGGGTCCTCTGCCAGTAAGGCCAATGAAGGCAGAATGGGCCATATGCTGCCCCTTGAATCCTTGATCTGTGCCCGCTTTGGGCTTCCCTTCCCCAGCACTGTGATGCCACCTGCAGGCAGGGAGTTCTTTGTCTCAGTGGCCACGTTCTCCAGCAGATTGCCTACAGGGCTCCTTAGGCAGCAGCAGAGCCCTCGTGGTCACGCTGTGGCCATGTGATCTGCTGGGTGGATGATAGTACTTCTGACTTCTGAGGTAGACACAAGTTTCTTGGTATTAGGGAAGTGGAGGCTGCCTGCAATCACATTATGGCTGTAGGTCTTCAAATGTGACTGATTCCATGAGCTGGGTGCCGTGGTTCATGCCTGTAATCCCGGCATTAGGAGGCCAAGGCAGGAGGGTTGCCATGAATTCGAGGTCACACTGGACTAGCCTGCACTACAAAGAGTGACCATTTCTCAAAAATCAAATACAAAACAACAACAAAACAAAACATGATTAATTGCAATAGTCACTCAGTACACCAGAGAATCACAACATTTACTGGGCCTGCTCATTTCACAGATGTCAAGCTGTGACTTGAGAGTCATCAAAGCATCAAATATCCCTGACCCCTCTGTGTTGCTTCGTGTCTCCTGGTTATAGTTGTAGGGGCTCCGGAAGCAGGTGACTTTATCTGTGAATACAAATACAGCCCGGCTTGTCCCTATCACCAGACACTGCTAGACTTTGATAAGACAAGGGGCCTCTTCTGGGATCTGCAGGAGAGATTTCTCAGAAGTCTGGTTTCTCAGTGAAATTCTGGCCAGTGTCATACTTTTTTTTTTTTTTTTAAACAGTAGGACCCCTTGATTCTCTGTCTCTGGGAGCCCTTTTTTGGCCAGTTTCAAAGCTCCTTGGGGTTCAGAGTCAAGGCAGCTGGATATGGTGGCATATACAATTTTAGGTCCTTGGGAGGCTGAGGATTGAAACCTTGAGGCCAGTCTGGTTAACAAAGTAACACCTTATCTCAAAACAAGAAAGTAAAAAGGGCTTTGGGTTTAGCTCAGTGGCAGAGCACCCTTGGGCTCAAGCTCCACAAAACAAAAACAGAAACAAACTTAAGTTCACCATGGCAATGTATGTGCTGAACAGATCCCGTGGGGTAAAGAATCTGGAGGCTCAGGGCCCTTGGCAAATAAAAAGCACCGGATGCTGAAACTCCCATGGATGACTGAGGTCAAGAAGTCAGAGAGCAGCATGCTGAGCACCCTGACAGGCCCCTCATCCTCCTTGTGGGGCTCTAAGCCATTGGGGTTTCCCCAGATGTCTCTCAGGGAGCAGAAGTCTCAGAGCCCCCGTGTGATGTGCAATGTTTACTGGACTCCCTGCGAGGTCTCCTGGGAGGGGAGGCTTCTTGATAAGGGTGGCTGTGGTCCTCCTCCAACTCGAGTCAACCCCCCACAGCCAGAAGGACCCCAACCGCTTTGACCGTGACCGACTCTTCAGCGCCGTGTCCCGGGGTGCGCCTGAGGACTTGGCTGGGCTCCCAGAGTACCTGCGCAGGACCAGCAAGTACCTCACCGACTCAGAGTACACAGGTAGCCCCTGCCCTAGAGTCCTTGAGTCCTGCATCCCACAGTCTGAGGCCTGGCTGACTGAGTGGGCCTGACCCGTGGTCAGCACAGAGGGCCCAGCCTCTGAGCAGCCCTCCTGCAGGAATGGCACAGGGCTCAGGTGGGGTAGGGTGGTGCCAATTGAGAGGACCAGGATGGCCCCGGACATGCTTGGCCATGTCTCCTGCTTCCACACAGCCTGCCTCGGCCACCCCACCCCTTTATCTGTTCCGCTGATGCTCAAAGCCCAGTACTGAGCTCTGTAATCAGCACATACTACACTACACTGATGTCAGAGAACCTTTGCCCAACATCTAATTCCCTATTGTTTGTACACCTGAGAAAACTAACATGTGTGTACCCTGTCAGATTTGAACTGAAAAGAAATATATAAACCGTCTACGGCCATACCACCCTGAACGCGCCCGATCTCGTCTGATCTCGGAAGCTAAGCAGGGTCGGGCCTGGTTAGTACTTGGATGGGAGACCGCCTGGGAATACCGGGTGCTGTAGGCTTAAAAAAAAAAAAGAAATATATAAACCCCAAGGTAAAGATATCCCATTAATGCTTAGCGGTACAAAGTTTCAGCTTTTCTTAGTATACTCGATATATTTTCTTTTTTTTTTTTAGTCTTTTTCATTTTTATTGGTACCAGGGATTGAACTCACAACCACGCACTTGCAAGGCAGGCACTTATACCGCGGAGCTAAATCCCTAGCCCCCAATATATTTTTAATAAATGCTATATGATTTACAAAAATGAGTATTAGCCTATTACACAGATTAGTAATTAGAGATGTGTTAACATCTCATACTTCTTTCCTTTTCTTTCTTCTTTTTTGAGCAAGGATCTTGGTCTGTAGTGCAAGCTGGTCTGAACTCACTATAGAGCCCAGGGTGGCCTCCAATGTGTGGCAATGCTCCTGCCTCCGTCCCCCGAGTGCTGGGAACACATCTTGTGCCACCAGGCCTAGCAACATCTCATGCATCTGGTGGCACTTCTCATTTTACCAAATACTGGTTGTTGTTTTGTTTTCCCCCTACCGGGGATTGAACTCACGACCTCGTGCTTGCCAGGCAGGTGCTTATGCCACTGAGCTAAATCTCTGGCCCTGCATTTCAGTACAGTACAATTTCCTGCCTGCAGAGTGAATTTTCCATAGTGTGGATTTAGCATTACACTTAACCAATCCTTTTTCAATAGCTGTGTATGTTGTTTGTAGTCCTGGACCTCAACCTGCTGTGTGCCAAGCCTTCCCTGTGCAAAGCACCCTGTTTCCATAGTTCCCTTGCGCCCCTTCTTTAACCCTGGAATGTTTTCCTTTTTAAAGAGGAAAACTGAGGTTAAGAGAGGCCAAGTGAGGAAAGTTGTATTTCCTGAATTTTATTGGTACTGGGGATCGAACTCATGACTGTGTGCTTGCAAGGCAGGCGCTTATGCCCCTCAGCTAAATGCCCAGCCCCCCACTCCTGAATTTTTTAATTATAGGTTACTTACAGGTAAGAGGACATCCTTCTTCTAGGAATTCCACCCTCAAGTAGTAGGAGGGAAAGGACATCCATGCAAAAATGTCTATGAGAGAAAATTAGAGCCAAGGTAGCAATGCTGAAGACAGTATTTAGGTAAACGACATAGGAGTGGCTGTGCTCCCACAATTCCCGAGAGCAGCAACCTTTTTATAAGCCCCAGTGCGGCACTGGGCTTGGGTCTGGGGAACCAGCCCACGGGCAGCCCAGCTGCTCCAGGTCTGAGCACCACAGTGCCCCCTCCCCTTCCTTTGCCACAGAGGGCTCCACGGGCAAAACGTGCCTGATGAAAGCCCTGCTGAACCTTGAGAATGGGATCAACGCCTGCATCCTGCCCCTGCTGGAGATCGACAAAAACTCGGGCAATCCCCGGCCACTGGTCAATGCCCAGTGCACAGATGAGTACTACCGAGGTCACAGCGCCCTGCACATTGCCATTGAGAAGAGGAGCCTGCAGTGTGTGAAGCTCCTGGTGGAGAATGGGGCCAACGTGCATGCCCGGGCTTGTGGCCACTTCTTCCAGAAGAGGCGGGGAACTTGCTTCTATTTTGGTGAGTGAGTTCTTCTTGGAGACACAGAGGTACAGGTGGGTGAGGCTGTCTGCTTGTTGAGACGCAATATCCAAGAGCTAGAGTCTGGAGGAGGACAGGTTTATTTTGGCACACAGTTCGTAGAGGTTTCAGCCTATAGGTCGCTGGCTCCAAGGCAGGGCAGCAAGGCAGAGCAGAAATACTTCATGGCATGGTAGCAGGAAGCAGAGAGACAGATGAAGACAGACAGACAGACAGATGGAGGGAGGGAGAGGGAGAGCGACAGATCAGAGGATGAGAAAGAGGGGCTGGGGATTTAGCTCAGCGGCATAAGCACCTGCCTTACAAGCAGGCAGTCGTGAGTTCGATCCCTGGTACCGATAAAAATGAAAAAAAAAAAGACCAAAAAAAAAAAAATTAGAACAGAGGATGAGAAAGATAACACCAGGTCACGCCCTCAGAGACCTAGCTCTTTTGACCAGATCCCACCTCCCAACAGAAAGGCTGCCAGAAGCTCCCATAATCCAGTCCTCTTCCAAAGCCCCTACCTATGAGCACATTGGCTTTGTGGGGAGGTCCAGGTCTGAACCATAATAAAGGCCTTGTCAAAGTCACATGGTTGATGTGAGGAAGAGCTGGCCTTTAAACCCAGGCTGACTTGGCCCTGACACCCAGCTTCTAACTACGATGCTGCCTCAAACAACGGCCTGTCAGCAATTTGTCTGACAGGTGTTTTTATCGTCCTTTGATGGAGAAAGCTCAGCATGACTGGTTTTGGGTGGGGGCAATGCAGCACTGACCTCTGCCAACCAGGGAGCTGGGGTGCAGCCGAGCGGTAGAGAAGGTGGAAGCAAAGGCCCTGGGTCACATCCCCAGCCCTGGAAAAGAGAAGCATTCAGTCAGGTGGAGGCTGAATTCAGGGGCAATGTGCCTGTGTTCTGGCAAAGAAGAACAAGGGGCGGGGGCCTGGTTCTGGACTCCCAGAGGTAAAGGGGCCTGAGTCACTGCCCGGAGGCCTGGGCTTCTGTTGGAGAGGCAGGAAGAGCAGGCAGGTGGAGAGTCAGATGCCCAAAGTCCAGGCTGCCCCCTTGGCCCACAGGCGAGCTGCCCCTCTCTCTGGCTGCGTGCACCAAGCAGTGGGATGTGGTGAGCTACCTCCTGGAGAACCCGTACCAGCCTGCCAACCTGCAGGCTGCCGACTCCCTGGGCAACACTGTCCTGCATGCCCTGGTGATGATCGCAGACAACTCTGAAGACAACAGCGAACTGGTGATCCGCATGTACGATGCACTGCTCAGGGCAGGGGCCCGCCTCTGCCCCAGCGTGCAGCTCGAGGACATCCAAAACCTGCAGGGCCTCACGCCCCTGAAGCTGGCTGCCAAGGAGGGCAAAATAGAGGTGAGCTCTAGCCCCCCTCCAGGTTACCCAGGCACCAGCAAAGCTCACCTCCAAACTTCTGCAGAGTCTGGGAGGAGGGCAGGGGGCTGATGTCTCTACCTTTCGAGATAACACCCCTATTAGCAAGTACGTTTGCACTTTGTATCTGTGTTAGCTTCGTGTTGACTGACACAAAGCCTGGTACTCCTGCTGTCCTAGGCACTTGGAACAAACATCAACTGAGAAAGAAAGGATGAGGGAAGGTTATTTAGGCTCACGGTTTCCTAAGTCATTGTCCACAGCTTGCTGCTAGTCTGGGCTTGTGGCAAGGCAGAACATCATGGCAGAAAGCTTTTGCACTTGTAGGCTGAAGCAGAAGGATGACCTCACTTTGGAGGGCAGCCTGCTAGCTGGAGAGTTGAAGGCCAGCTTGAGTGACATAGTGAGACCCTGTTTAAAAAAAAAAGAAAATGAGACTTTCGAGGACACTTAAGATCCCAAACTGTGACAACCTGTATCACGTGTGTTTTTGTTTAAGGTCTTTATGCCTGACTCAGTTATTGTATTGTATTAGAAAACACGGGGACTGCTTTTCGTGTCATTGGGGTTTCTTCATTAGGAGACGGTATTTTCCTTTTCAGACAGGATTTCTCTATGTACTTTAGACTGGTTTAAACTCACTATATAGCCTGGGCTGGCTCAATCTTGTGATGATCCTCTGGCCTCAGCCTCCCAACTGCTGAATCCCAGGTGTGTGTCGCCATACCCAGAGACAGTGGTTTCATATCCACAAGACTGTCGTATCTTGCTATTAGAGTTAGTATTAGGTTTTCTTTGTGTGGATTGGTAACTGTATAATGGCCTCTGAGATCCAGAGGTGCAATTGGCTGTCATTTGGAACTGATATATCGCCTTAGGGTTTTGCCTGTTTTCCGAATTATTCTGCGTTAACTGTTTGGATTTGAATCTTTTTTTGTTTTTTAATTTTATTGGTAGGTGCTTATGCTGCTGAGCTGAATCTCCAGCCTCTTGGTTTTGAATCTTAAGGTGTTATTTTGTGATGAGAAATTAAAATTTGTCTTGTGTGTATGTGACTATAGCCTCTGGACATTTGAGTTGGAGTGGTCATTGGAGCCCATGAGGTTTTTTTTTTTGGTACCAGGGATTGAACTCACAACCTTGGGCTTGCCAAGGCAGGCGCTCACATTGCTGAGCTAAATCCCCAGCCTGGAGCACATGAGTTTGACAACAGCCTGAGGAACATAGCAGGATGCCATCTCCTAAAACAACAAACAAAAATTTTATATGTGCAGTATAATTATGATAAATATGTTGTTTTTAAGGTTTTTTGGTTTTGCTATGGCTTAATTCTTTCTATAAGATTTTATTAAAAAATGAGATAGGAGGATCACCGTGAGTTGAAAGCCAGCATGCAGTACATAGAGATTGTGTCTCAAAAGAAAAATATTTTAGAAAAAATATTTATATATATTTATATGAGAAGAGAAGAGATTTATATATGAGGACAGGTGTACCTCAGTGGTTAAGCACTTGTCTGAATGCTGCGGCTGTGCAGATGGGCAGCTCTGAGGCTGCTGGCCATTCACCAGCCTTGGCCATGTATCAGGACTCAGAGATGGCCCGGCCAGCAAACTCCTGTGGTCACTCTGCAGATTTTCAAGCACATCCTGCAAAGGGAGTTCTCGGGGCCATGCCAGTCCCTTTCCCGAAAATTTACCGAGTGGTGTTATGGGCCTGTCCGGGTATCACTGTATGACCTGGCCTCCGTGGACAGCTGCGAGGAGTACTCAGTGCTGGAGATCATCGCCTTTCACTGCAGGAGCCCAGTGAGTTCAAGAGGGCATGGCCATGCCTAGAGGGCCCAGCAGAGGTCCTGGCAAGTTCCACAAGTCACAGCTGCTCCCTGGAACAAACCTACTCTGTCCCAGTAGGGGTGTGGCTGCATGTCCCTGGTTCTGGCCGTCGAACACAGACTTATCCTACACTCTAGACCTTTGCAACACAGGCACCACTGGGCGTGGTGCTGAGCACCACTGCGCAGGAATAGAGGGGAGGCCCTGGTGACTGTATAGCTAGAGTATGCTGAGCTGGGGTGGAGGCAGGCGGCCAGGGGCCATTTGAGGTTCCTTCTGCTCTATTTCCCTTGCACCTTGTAGGGAGCCCAGCATGGACTGGGTGCTCTATGCATACCTGCTGCCTTTATCCTGTCAATGTCTATATCCAGGCCTCTTCCTGTTCCGCAGCACCGACATCGCATGGTGGTTCTGGAGCCACTGAACAAACTCCTGCAAGCCAAATGGAGTCAGTTCATCCCCAGGTTCTTCTTCAACTTCCTGTGTTATCTGATCTATGTGCTCATCTTCACCACTGTTGCCTACCACCAGCCAGCCCTGGACCAGGCAAGGGCATGGAGAGAAGTCCCCAGGGGGCCTCCTGGAATAGGCCTGGAGGGAAATGGGCCAGGGACCACCGCCACCATCCGTGATTGATGTGTCTCAGTTCATGATCACTGACAACCACTGTCTGGGATAACCAAGTATTATCACCCTGAGCTCACATTTGAGAGAAGGGAGGCACAGAGAGGTTGTAATAACATTCCCAAAGCCACACACAACCTGTGAGTGGTGGAGGCAGGATCTGAGCCAGGCAGCCTGGCTCCAATCCCCATGTTCATAATTTCTACATGATGTGCCTCTGAAGGCACTAGAGTCCAGCGGTCATCCCCGGAGTCCGTGCTCCTCCCCTGCTCCATACTGTAAGCTCAGACGGGCTCCTAAGGGCTTTGGTCCTAAGTGCCGGGGAGGAGACCTGAGGGCCTAAGTCTCATCGGAGTGTTTATGTGTCTTCAGCAGGGTTTCCAGCTGGATCCCTTGTCTGGAAACCCCGTGCTCCTGCTGGGCCACATCTTCATCCTGCTTGGGGGGATCTACCTCCTCATTGGCCAGGTGAGGGCTTCTCTCTCTTCCCCTACCTTATGTGGCCCCAATTAAACTAGGTGGGAATCTAGAATTCTGCTGAAGGGCAGGGAGTTAGAAACAACCCCTTCAGAGATGAGGAAACCACTGCCATACTCAGGTCCATCTGGAGCAGGCTCCAGGAAATGGGGGCCACAGCTTATGCCCTTAGTTCTGGGGCTCTGGTACCCTCCCTCTGTGCCATTTGGGACACCCATGGGGTAGTGGACAGGTTGCCTGACTCCTTAGCATGTTAGGCTCTGCTTCCCTGCAAGTGGAGCTGGAAGCCCCCACCGGAGCCCTCAGCTGGCATTCCTCAGTTGGGGAGCACAGAGGGTCACTCCAGGTGGGACTCAGCCCAACTACAGCAGCACAGCAGTCCCAGTTGGGAACTGTGCAAACTTGCAAGAGTTACTCAGGCTGGACACTAAAACGCTAGGAAATCGTTAGCATAGACAGACTTTGGGTGCCACTCTCAGGCTGGCTGGAGTACAGGGTGCTCCCCAGGAGGCAGAGGAGGGTAGCAAAGGAACTCTCCTCTTTCCACATGCAGTCTGTGGGCTGCTGAGCTGATTCCATGGGGGCCAGGAGGCCCCTGGCATTGTTTGGGTGACAGTGGAAATCTACTTTCTGGCTCCCCTGTACTGGGGTGTAGTTCAGGGCCTCACACACGCTCAGCTTGGCCACTGTTTTGGAAAGTTCCAAGGCCATCGCTGCTATTGGAAGGATTCATGAGACTCCCACAGTGAAAGCTGCTGTCTTACCTCCAAAATGGTGCTGGCCAGATCTCATGTAGGCCGGCCCGCAGTTAGGGAGCATGTGGGTGAGCAGGGGACCTGGTGGTCCTGTGGGACAGCTGGCCAGCCCTCTTGCCTGGAGAACAAGTTTCACAGCCTCTGTCCTCCTGCTCTGCAGCTTTGGTACTTCTGGCGGCGCCGCCTGTTCATCTGGATCTCCTTCGTGGACAGCTACTTTGAAATCCTCTTGTATGTGGGCTCTCATTTCTCCTCCCATTCTCTGAGGCCTAGGGGAGGTGGGTATGGAACAGGGTACCCGGCTGGCTTGAGAGGGAATAACACGGGGGTCCAGGGAGTTGCACAGGGTCTGGACCTGAGCACTGGCCAGACCTGGAGTCCTGGCCAGACCTGGAGTCCTGGCCACTATCCAGCTGTGCACCCTTCCACGCGTCCTTGTGGGCCATGATTTGGTTACCTTTACCAAGCCCTCACTGCACACTGTTGAGCCTTGACCTTCTGCATATAGCGCCTCACTTCATTTTTTAAAGTGTCCTTATTTTTATTAGTATTTTATGGGAGAGGGAACGGAGACCCACAAAGGCTGAATAGCTTGTGCAACCCAGATTTAGTTCATTCCTAAAGGGAGTACATTTGAAAACATCATGGGACCTGCAATGGTGGTCTGTACTGGCCGGGAGGAGTTGGGGGATGTTGCCTAGTGTGGCCTCAACCATGACTGGAACCCTCCCCGTGCAGCCTGGCCCAGGCCCTGCTCACCGTGCTGTCCCAGGCCTTGTGTTTCATGGCCATTGAGTGGTACCTGCCCCTGCTTGTGTCCTCGCTGGTGCTGGGCTGGCTGAACCTGCTGTACTACACACGTGGCTTCCAGTACACGGGCATCTACAGCGTCATGATCCAGAAGGTGAGAGATGGGGCCTGGCTGGACACCACAGTTCAGAAGGGTTCCCTGTGGCCTCAGGAGCAGGAGTCTTCTCCCACAGCTCACCTGAGCAGAGGAGGCATGAGCAGGCCTGCCTTCTCCACTTACCCAGCTGCTCACCAAATGCTGGTGTAAGAACTGTTGTGGGCGTGGACCCACAGATACATGTACACATGTTACATACACACCTCCAGGAACAGGGGATGACTGAGTGGAGGAGTAAAAGGAATGACACACCCACAGTGTCACAGTCACGGTCCTAGAGGAAGCATCCTCCATAGGGAACTATGGAGGTGAAGATGATGAGCCAGGTCAAACTGACAGGCAGGAGACAGAGCCAAGAGCCCAGGTAGCTGGGGAGAGGGAGGCAGAGTGGAGAGGGGAAGGTGGTGGGTAAGAAGGTGTCTGGGGCTTTGTCCATCGGGAGGGGTCAAGAGCCTAGCACTTGGGAGGTTGAGGCAGGAGGATCACTGTGAATTTGAGACCAGCCAGTGCTACATAGTGGGGTTGAGGTAGGCTTCAAATACATAGGGCGATCCTGTCTGGAAAAAAGTAGGCCTCATATAAAAATGTGCCGACCTAAGTGTATGGTTAAGGGGTGTGACACACATTCCCCTTGTTATGCAGCATGAGCACATCTGTCTCCAGAGCTACTTCATCTTCATAAACAAACTTGATGCCCATTGAACAACCCCCCATTTTCTCCTTGTCTCAGCCTGCCAACTCTCATTTACTCTCCGCCCCCATGATTTTTTTTACTTGTTTTTTAATTTTTATTTTGAAGGGGGTAAAATTAAGCAGAACAAAATAGGACGTAAGAAAGCAATGTAAGAGATGTAAATTTCAATGCTACACAACCTGAGATCTTCATTGTTACTTGTTTCCTTCCAAGTAGTTGTCCATGTCTTTGCATACAGAGAATTCATAGAAAACAACATAGTATAATATGGATCTGAACAGAATGAGGAAGGCATTTTAGGTCTTCAGAACCAGACAATAGGGAAGTCCCTGAGGGCTATTGTAGAGTCTCTCATTCTCTTCAAATTAGCTGTCCATACATTCATGTATATTGAAGTTCAAGAAAACAAACCAGGCAGGGCAGGGAGTGGTTGCTTGGTTCCCAGCGCTCAAAGTCCCAGCATGGCGTGGGTCCCAGTAAACGCTGGTGGCTCCTGTCCTGGGCCGTTGCAGCCTGCCACATTCACAGCCGCAAGTCACGGTGGAGGAGGTTGCTTCAAGCTGTTTCTTTCTAATGAGTTGGCCATTTCACTGCCTAAGTTCTGAAATGGCCAGCAGACCACAGAAAGACATCTCTTTAGTCTCCTGCTTGAAACCAGCGCCAGGAAGCTGCTGGCCTTGATTCAGGGCCAGAGTCCCCACGATTTACTGGTTCTAGAAACTTCATGAGGGTATCAACTAGCATTTGTCCATGGCCTGGCTTATTTCACTTCCCACAGTATGCTTAAGACTCATCTGTTGCAGCATGGACACACTTATTTCCCTTTAAAGACTGAATGGTGTTTATTGTATGGGTAGAGCACATAGTGTGTACCCTGCATCCACGACAGGGCTTACTGCTTCCATAACCTGGGTATTACAGATACTGTAGTGCTGTTCTGAATACGATGCATGAATATCTGTTTTAGTCTTTTTTTCCCTTTAGGTTCTGACAGTGGTTCTTGCTTTGTAGTTCAGGCTGGCCCTGAACTCACGATGTAGTTTAAGGTGGCCTTGAATCGCTACCGTCTTCCTTCATCTGCCATGAATGCTGGGATTCTAGGTGTGGGCCAGCACGCCTCGTTTGAGTATCTGTTTTCAATGCTCTGGATCAATTTAAATATATGCCTTTATAGTAATCTGGACATTGTGTGAGAGCCAACAGCCACATAGTGCCACACTGTGTGAAAAAGATGGATGAGAACACACTGTAGTTTTTATAGGTATGAATTTCTAGATGTAATTTTTCAGTAGCATTCACAGTATTTTTTTTATGGTATTTTAGAAAGATAGGAAAAAGAGCTTCCAGAACTATTACAGAAAACAACCAGAGAATGGGAGAAGCATATTCAAAACAATGGGGAAGATTTCAGTAGAGTTAATGGCAGCGATTTTTACCATAATAGTTTTTAAATCCTTTTAAACATTTACCATATATAACTCATTCGTGCGTGAATGCGTGTGTGTAGTTGTACAATGATTGCTGTGCTCAGCTCTGGGTCTGGGGGATTCTGCACACTGGCCCAGCCACCCAGCCCAGCTCACGTGCTTGTGTATTTCAGGTTATCCTGCGGGATCTGCTCCGCTTCCTGGTGGTCTACTTAGTCTTCCTTTTTGGCTTTGCTATAGGTAAAGGCCCACTCTGGTCCTGCTTATCCCCTCCCCACTATGTACACCTGCCTCAAGGCTGCCTGCCAGAGCCCCTGGCTGAGGAAGCCCTCCCTCCTTCCCACAGCCCTGGTGAGCCTGAGCAGGGAGGCCCGGGGACTCAGGGGCCCTGCAGGCCTCAATGGCACACAGGCCTCCCAGCCGGGGATGGAACAGGAGGAGGAGGAGGAGGCCCCGTATAACAGCATCCTGGATGCCTCGTTGGAGCTCTTCAAGTTCACCATCGGCATGGGCGAGCTGGCCTTTCAGGAGAAGCTGCGCTTCCGTGGGGTGGTGCTGCTGCTGCTGCTGGCCTATGTGATGCTCACCTACGTCCTGCTGCTCAACATGCTCATCGCCCTCATGAGTGAGACGGTCAACAGCGTTGCCACTGACAGCTGGAGCATCTGGAAGCTGCAGGTGCCACAGCAGGGTTTTCCTCCCCTCCTCTACCCCACTCTGCCTGCTGGATCTCTGGAGGCATCCTGGGCTGTCTGTGGGAGTCAGCAGTCACCCGAGAGCCCAGGGCTGGGCACTCAGTCAGGCTGGCTCAGCTCAGCAGGACCAGTCCCCACACTCCTGTATTCATTCCTTCTTTCATAGGGTGGCTGTGAAAAATGGATGTGCTCAAGGATGTAATGTGCCCAGCACAGTAACTACCATATAATAGGTGTGCACTGTTAGTTACTTTTATCACTGGCATTATTAATATCAAATACTTCTTTCTTCTTTTCGGTGGGGGGTAGTATGGGGGATTGAATACAGGGAGGGCATCTTAGCTTTTTATTTTTCATTTTGAGACAGGGAGTCACTAAGACGCAAAGTCTGGATTTGAACTTGTGATCCTCGTCTCAGCCTCCAGAGTACATGCCAGTGCACCTGGCATCACGTATTTGTTAAGTGTATTTTGTGGCTGGTTCTCATGCGCAGTTTTAGGTGTTAAGAGAAAGCCCTTCCCTGCCCTCATGGAGCACCAATTCTGTTCTCTTTATACATGAAAAGGGTTCTCCAAGGTGGGCAGGAAGTCAGGGTGTAAAATCCTAGGCATGGCCCAGCCTGGGGTACCTGGGACACTGATCTGACACCCACCTACAGTGGAAGGAATCACTTCATCTTGCCTAAATAACGATCAGGTGGCTACTGGGCAGCTGGAGCAGGGAAAACATCATCTGGGAGCCTGGCCGCTGTGGCCAATTCCTTGGAGCCTTCAACAAGGTCTTCATGTTCTCTGAGTCCAGCCCCCCTACTCTGCAAGCAGCATGCTCCCTGACTTGTTTGCATGCAGCAGCAGCAGCAGCAGCAGCAGCAGCGTATGTGCAGAGTAGAGCCTATGACATTCTCTACGGGATGGTGTGCAATTGTGTCACCTGAAAAGATGTAAGACCAAGCTGCCGTCCAGCACTTGGTGCTTGCTGATTTCTAACAATGATTTGGGCTGCAATATTCTAGGTATACAGATAAGGAATCTGAAATTCAGAGTTTCAAGGCCTCACACCATACAGATGATCGGAGGCTGGGGCTGCTTGAATCCACATGCTTAGTGAACTTTGGATTATAGTCTAAAGGACTGTGGGGTATTTTCTTGTTCCCTTGCCCTGTGTTCCTCTTCCTTCAGACAAGGTCCTGGACTGTTGTCTGATGTATCCTTTGTCCCTAGAAAGCCATCTGTGTCTTGGAGATGGAAAATGGTTACTGGTGGTGCAGGAGGAAGAAGCAGCGGTCAGGTGTTCTGCTGACAGTGGGCACTCGGCCAGATGGAAGTGCTGACGAGCGCTGGTGCTTCAGGTGAGCCAGGTGGGCAGGGGTCTGGCAGAGCCAGGAACCGCTGGGGCCTGTCCACACTGCAGGACAGCCTTGCTCTCCAGAAAGCTGGGGGATGGCTGCCCAGGGCCATGTCTGTAGGAGAGGCAAGGCAAAGGAGTGCCAGGGTGAGCCACCCAGGCATGTGAGGTTAGGGATGCTGAATTTCATGGCCCATGGTGGTCACTGTCTATCTCAGTGGCTTATGTTGAGGGTTCCTCCCCAGTGATCTGATCCTCCTTGTGGCCTGTCCTAGCTGTACCCCCAACCCCAATTCTTGCAGCCTGATCCTCCAGTAGGCCCTTCCCTGCTCAGGAAGAGCTGAGTGGTAAGAGAGGGAAGCTGGTGACAATTGCAAAGCTAGCAGCAGTGCTAGGGGAAGGCAGCTGAGCAGGGAGAATGAGGGCTTTCTGCATAAGAGACAGCCATGAAAGGGCCCTCCCACCCAGAGCACCAGGATGGCCTGATCTCAGTTCTTCTCTGGTTGCTCTGGGCAACCCAGGATGCAGTGAACAGCCCAGAGGGAACTGACTTCTGTTCAGCCCAGTGCCTACAGAGGAGCGCAGAGAAGTCCCGTCCTCTCCCTGTCCCTACGTCCACTAGAGCCTTTGCACAGCTCACTGATGTGGGAAGAGGCCAGACTCTCTGGGGCAAGCTAGGCTGGGCTGCTGGCTTTCTAGGCCTTGAGAGCTGGTTCTCTGTTAACAGGGTGGAGGAAGTGAACTGGGCTGCCTGGGAGCAGACCCTGCCCACGGTGTGTGAGGACCCCACAGGGGAAGGCATTCCTGGTGAGTAGCTTCTGGGCGCGTGCTGGGCCCCATGGTCTTGCGGTGTCTGGGAGAGGAGTTGGTCCCAGTCCACTCTTTTCCCTTCCTTTCTTCTGGCCTCTTCACCTCCTGCTCTCCCCTGCCTGGCTTGCAGTCAGCTACCTCCCACTACCCACTAGGGGCCCACCACTGCCAGACTTGGGCTGAGCCTGGGACCCAGAGGGGAGTAAGTCAGGAGAGGCTTCTTGCCTGGCTCTCAAAGAGGCAGCACCTCATCTGCCCCCGTGGGCACTGCATTCCAGGCCAGCTCCCAGCCCTCCACATCCTGAAGAATCCCCTTCCTCTGCCTCTCCCCAGGCCTGGGGGAAGACACCCTTCCCGTCCCACGAAGCTCTGCCCATGAAGATTTACTCCTCGCTCTACCTCATGTACCTGTTCCAAAGATGAGCCCTCCCCACAGCTTACTCCTTCTTTTGTTTCTTTGTCTTTCTTTTGGAGAGAGGGTCTCACTTTGTAGCTGGACTTCAACTCACCCTGGAGCCCAGGCTCTCTTTCAAGTTTCGCAGATATTTCTGCATCAGCCTCCCAAGTGCTGGCACCCCAGGCATGTACCACGCTGCCCGATAGCCTCCCTGTTCTTTCTGCATCCTTCAAGAGTTCCCTTTCTCAGGTGGGAGGGCTGGACGCTCTCTGCCCACCTCCTGCCTTGGCTTTCTCACCCAGTGTTCTGTGGACAGGACTTCTTCAGGCAGCTTGGTCTGTGTGCTTCATTTCTCCTGTTTCTCACCGCATGGTGTCTGCACCCCGACCTTCAGGTGGTTTTTGTTAGTGCATCTTTGTGTGTGGTTTGTGGTTTGTGTGTGCTTGCTGGAGATAGGGTCTTTTGTAGTCCAGGCTGGCTTCAAATTGCAGCAATCTTGCTTCAGACCCCAAATACTAGGATGTCATGTGTGCCACAATGCCCAGCATGTTTTGCTGTTGCTTTAAGACAGAGTCTTACTTTGTTGTTTAGAGTTGCCTTGAACTCAATCTGGAGCCCAGGTAGGCCTGGAACTAACAAAGATCCCCCTATCTCAGCCTCCAGAGTGCTATGATCATAGGCAGGTGCCACCATACCAGGCTCACCCTGACTATCAGGCAGATCTCTGTGCTCCAGGATTAACCCACTCCACCCCTACTAGTGTAGACCAAAACTCTTCAAGGCTCGGAGCTTCTGCTGTACAGAGGGCCCCACTCTCAGTGAGGAGGTCAACGCCCCCCTGCTGTCCATCCCCTTCCCAAGCTCACTCCTCACTGCTGCAGTGATCCTGGTTTTTCTGCTTCCTCTTCCCCTTGTCTCTGCTGGAATTGCCCTTCTGTCCTCGGTGTCCAAACTTACCAGCTTCCCTACAGGATGGGTCCTTTGTCACCTCTGCATTCTCTGTGCATCCACATCATTTGTCTCCTTTTCTTCCGCATTCTCAGATTTCCTGGTTTCTGGTGCATAGCTGGTCACTTGTGGGGACTTCAGGCTTTGGGGAGAACCATGACGGGTACAGGGCAGAGGTTCAGGGAATGTTCCTGGAAGGAGGGAAGCAGGGAGAATGGTTGCAGGACTCTGAAAGCACCTGGTGTCCACTGGGTGCGATGGCTTTTGTGGCTGTGGTGCCCTCCCAAGAGTCAGACCACAGTGCTTCCCATCCCATTTACAGGTACCATGAGGAAACCTGGCCGGGCCTCTCAGCCCGAGGAGGCGTCTTTGTTACAGGAAGACCACCTGCCCCTGCAGGTGCTGCAGTCCCACTGATGGCCAGGAATCTTTCAGCCACACCTGCCGGTTTGGAGGCTCTTAAATATAAATATATTTTCCCACAACTAATTGTGTTGAAAATATTATTTGAGCATATTATATGCTGAAACCCATGGTCTAGTAACATCTGCATGCTTCTATGTGTCCCTGTGTGGGTCATGGGACTAGGCTATGCCCAACTTTATGTGGACACAGAAACCTTCTGCTGCTGTCCCCTAGTCCATCCTCCTGGGGGCAGGCTGCTGGCTGAGGTGCTGTGGCTGCTCTCACGGTGGACTTGGAGGTAAACAGGCGAATCACAGCCACTTTGCCACTCTCTTTTTGTGCCATCGGACATCTGCTAAATCTGTTTCTAAGCTGGCAGCAAGCCAAGGCACAGGCTGTACGTGTGAGTGAGACCAGCCTGGGCAATTTAGCAAGACCTCAGGTCAACAACAAACGGAACCATATGATGAATGTTAAGAAGATATATATCTAAAACATGTCAAGAAAATGAATTAATTAAAAAAAAATAAAAAACACAGAAGTGGGTGAGGAAGATACAAGAGAGGAGAGGAGCTGAGAATTCACACTGCAACATGTCATGTAGTTTAGTTTGCTTTGAGCTCTTTGGTTCAGTTTAGACTGGATTATTGCACGCCCCGCTCTGCACCCTAGGTTCATACTCAGTTTCCCATTCCTCCATGCTATTTTTTGTAGGACAGCCAGAGGGGTCTTCCTAGGACACAAGGCAAACTTGTGACCCTTGTGCTCTGGAGGCCTGAGAGGTTCGTCAGGGTCTAGACAATGTCCTTGCAGGTGTCCTCAACCCTCCAGTCTTCCCCTGTGTCCCTGCTGCCTGTAGGGGAATATGGTCCTTAGAAGTTTGATCATCTCTTCCCTGCTAGTCCTCCCAGTGCTGGGAACTGAAGGCAGGCCCTGCATATGTTAAGCAAGTGCTCTCTCACAGTCATTCTCTAGATCTAACCAAATTCATCAGGCAAGCTGAGGGTCCTCGGGTTTGATCTTTTGACTTAGCTCATTCTAGAAGAATCATTCAAACCCTGCTTCTTTTTGAGAGTAATCCCTTGATGTCAAGTGTTCTATTTTTGGAAGGGCACTGAACTGTGGAAGTTTATGAAAAATTTTCTCTTCAAATTCTTGTCCCTTGAATTTTTCTAGGAATCACATGAATTATTTGCAAAAAGTTTAAATTTTAGAGTAAGTGCATTAGCTCAAAATTTCCTCTTTCCGGTTCCCTGGAAAATGAATTGCTCTCCTTGGTATAAGGTCTGTGCACCACTTTTTTTTTTTGTGATGGAGATGGAATTCTAGGTGTCAGGTATGTTAGGTAAAATGAAGCTCCAAACCCTTGTGACCTTCCCCTATTACTGCACTGAAATTGAATTCAGTGTCTTCTCACTTAGCTACATCCTCCAACTCTGGTTTTTGACACGGGGTCTCCTTAATAGGGCTCAAGCTGGGCTCGAACTACAGTCTCTCAGAATGATGAATTACAGGCGTGGACCACCACGTCCAGCAAGGATTAAGTATTTTAAAAAATAATAGAAGAAACCTCAACATGTTCACATATTGAGAGAAAACCAGCAGAGGGAGAGTTCTGAATTGTAAATAAGACAGGGAGAGAAAGGAGTCGTTTAGGAAAGTAGGGAAAAAAGGAAGACGGCAGATCGTCAAAATAGAAAGAGGGGTTGTATGGAGCGAGATAAGCTCCGGCAAAATCAGCTTCAGGAAAGAATGATGAAGGCAAAAAAACAATGATGTAGAATGGGGCCCTCGCTTACTACGTATTAGGCGCTGACATCTGCTGCGTGGCCAGCCTCTGCATTTCACACATTTACTGTCTCATGATACACTCACAAGTACTTTCTGAGACACACGCGTCTCCATTTTTCACATTAGCAATCCCACCTCGAAACGCGCGTGATGGAACTCGCGGCCAGAAGACGCGGACCCGGAAATCCCGCCCCAACCCCTGAGTGGATCTCTGGGAACTAGCGGCGCACTTCGTTACCCACAATTCACTTGGGCGTGGAAGAAACCACAAGTTCAGTATGCTGGGGGGAGAGTCCTGAGTTGCGGCGTCTGTGTCGTGGATGGGTTGGAAGTTCTCGTTAGTTTTTGCTAGTCTCGCCCCCTTTTTTGTGAGCTATGGGATATTCTGACTCTAGCTGTCTAGGAGTACGAGAGGCAAAACCTTTGAACAGCAGTGACCATGGAGGACGGGTGTCTTTATTTGTGTGGCTACAGCCTGGCCCCGAGGGCACATAAAGAAACCAAAAGTTTTTTCTTTTCTATAAAGGGTGTGTTTGGATGAAGTTAGCTAAAGAGCGGATTCCGGGGCAGTGTTGCAGATTATCGTGGGTCTGCTGTGAGCATTCTGGGAGAATGGAGACCGCATGCTTCTCTGCAGGATCACCGCCGCGGGAGTGTGAGGTTTGGAAAGCAGCGTCCTGTATCCGAGCCTCCATCAGGAGTGCACCGACCTGAAAACCTGGGTAGGTTGGCATCTGCCTGCCACTAGCTGGAAATAACTGAAGTGCGCTACTACTAGACGGATTGTAATGGGAACACGAGGAAGACGTGACTGTTGTGATGATAAGGAGTAATAGGAAGTGCCGTCAGAAGCGATAACTGACGACGTGTCTACTTGATCTGATTACAGTTGCCGAAACCTCAAGGCATTGGTTGAACGTTACTGCCTGAGTCTACAGATCTCTTGATCTCTCATTTTTTTAGATGTCGGACTTAGTGCAGAATGTTGGAGGCGGGAACAGCATCTCATCATGAAGTCGGGTGCGTTTAATATTCGAGTTTGGGGAATAGAGGTTAGCTCAGTGTTGGAGAGTAACCTAGCACATTTGGGGCCTTGGTTTGATTTCCAGAGGTTGGGGGGGGGGTCGTGACTTAGTTATAATTTAGCTACCAGAGAAGCAATGAAGTTTTAGTTATATAAAAACTGGAGATGGCTGTTTAATCTACAGTAGCGATCTTAAGTTGACATTAAAAACTAGGCTCTTTTTTTGCCCGAATGTAGTTCAGTGTTAGAGGTCTTGCCTTGGTATCATGCAGGACCCCTGGGTTCAGTCCCAGTACAGCAAGATCAAACTCCATATATGTGTTTGTATACACATACATTATACATATATGAAGTAAGGCATTGGCAGACCCAAGGTGTCGGGGGTGTTTTGGTACATGTGGTTGTGAGGATGTAGCCCCCAAGAACTTTGTGCTGTGCTACACCTTCTGCTTCTAGTTTGGCTTCAGATGTCCATGTCTCCAGTTGTAAGAGTGCTGGAGAGTGATGAGTGTTTTGACTGCTCTGATGATACCACTTATTAGGAAGTGCCATCAGAAGCGATAGATAACTACTCCTGGCTGACCGCAGTCAACAAGTCTGCAGCAGTTGCTGCTGTTGGCCAGGATTAAGTTGATCTGAACTGTGACAACCTTTCTACATTCATTCAGGTTGCAAACTGTCAGAGGATACCAACAGTGTAGTATCACTGGCCCCTTGAGTCATGTGGGAGGCTGCTGGACAGAGGCTTCACTGGGAAATTTTTGCTCAAAGCCTGTTGGAGAACTGGCCTTAGATCAGGTAAGCTTTGGTCTCTGGAAGGATTATTATATGTCAGTGTGGTCCTTAACTTACTGCCAGGATATCCAGCATGTCTTGGCTAGTTCTTGGGCCAGTGGAACCCAGAAGAATGCTTATCCAGAAAGTGGTTCCCATTTGACTTCTGTGTTTAATCTTGAGCAAATTATATTGTCTGCTCTGAGGTTTTAGTCTGCTCTTTAGGTTTTAGAGGAAAATAGCTTTCCTCATTTTTGAGAAATAAGAATAGATTTGTGACTTTGAAGATGCCCTACTAAGTAGAGATTTAAGTCTCAGGAGGTTATTTGGGATTTGTAGGTTTAGTAATTGGCACAATGCCCTGTCTGCAGGTTTTGAGGGATGATGTTCATAGAGTGGTCATACTAAGCTTGTAGACTGAGAGGCTGTGGAAGGCATTTCCCGTTCTGTAGCTTTCTCTTGTTTCCCCAGGTTTTGGGATCAGTGCTGGAGTGCAGTTTGAGAGCTGGCAGCAGCACAGCCCAGCAGGAGGTAAGCCTTGATCTGCACTGTGATTTGTCCTGGATTGAATTAGCCCCTGGTTGTACAATTGGTTTTTGTGGAAAAGGATATCAAATGATGAAATAACCAAAACTAGCTGGAATTACCGGCAGATTGGCAGTGGTGACCCAGGGTTTTCTGAAGATGTCTTTTGAGTATTGAATGACTGTTAGAGGGTGCAGAAAATGAGACTGAAACGTACTTTCTTTGCAGGTGAAGGATCTGAAGCTGCTGTTGATTCTGTTTGAGAATCTAAATGGCTGGAATGTTTGGTGTGGAAGAAACAAGCTGCTTACCTCTTGTGTCAGAGCCCTTTCTTCTCAACAGAACTGATGTCTCTGGCCTTTTTTTTAGGACAGCACGGCACACTGTCTTTCATTAACCTACGCAGCACACAGGAGCTTGTATGTCTTTGTATAAATTTATGTTTACAAATACTATTAAACGCTATTACAATAAAGGATGATCTTTGGTATTGATTCTTAGAAATATATATTTGGAGAAAAGTTAAATTTGACTATGATAAAGTATTAACAGTATTAGCATTAAAGTCTGTAAACTTGTGGTCCGTCTTGCCATGTAACTGTAGACTTTTCAAGGGCGACAGTCGTGAAGCACTTAAGGCATCCCTTCATGATTCTAGTCCGTGCTGCTTTGTCCTGTGAAGCATGTGGCTGAGGTGGCCTGTACCATACTTAGTATCAGGTGAGGACTTGTGCAGCGTGTGTCTTGCTGCCTTCCTGTGTAGAACATTCACTGGATGCCAGAGGCCGGTTCTTGGCAGTATTGTACAGTGTTTCTCCCCGTATTTTGTTTTGCCCGTGAAGTTTTGTTTGACCCAGTCCTAAATTAATCTGGTTTAAGACTGGTTTTGTTTTGCTAGAGACTAGGAATTGTGTCTAGAGCATTGAAAAAGTTGGCAGACAGGTTAAAACTCTGGTAGGTTTTTTACCAGTATTGGGTTAAGGGACTGGAAGGATAAAACCTTTGTGGAGTTGGGCTCTAAGGCACCTACAGAGATGCTGCCCAGAGTTTGTCTGGAGGGTCCTAGGGTTTTTTGAGCCTTCTGTATTGGGTTTTAGGGATGGGTTCAAAGTATGGATTAGAGATTAGATGAAAAGGGAACTTTTTTTTTTTTTTTTTTTTTTCTAGTAGGAATTGAATGCAGGGCCTTGTACTGTCAGGCAGGCACAGCTGAGCTGTAATCTCACGCTGGAAAAGGAATTTGTAAAAGTTCTGAAACCCAGCTAGTAGGTTATTTTTGGCTGAGACTGAAGCAAGGCTCATCACAGGGCTGTACAGTGGGGGTGAGGCTGTAGCAAGCCCTGGGGTTTGCTGGTGCCTTTGCTGTGATGGCACCTGGCCTACCTTGGCCACTGCTGGGTGGCATCCATAATGCTATAAGTAGAGGTAACTCATCTTCACCGGAAGGCGGCCTCCAGTGGAAGTTGGGGCTCCCCAAGGGGGTGTGGGCCTTCTATGCTTGGCCTAGGTAGAGGTACTAGGCTCATTGAATGAGGAAGAGGAAACCTGTGTGTGGGGCACAGTTAAGATCATGTGTTTGCACTTGAGAGATGGGATGAATCTAATGGGAAAATTGGAAAAAATGCTAGATGTGCCAAGTATCACTCAGAGTTTCAGGCCAGTCTGGGGTACACAATGAGTTCAAGGCCAACCTGAATTATATAGAGAGACTCTGTCTCAAAGAAAAAAACTTCTGGGCCTGGAGACTTCTAGGAGAATGCTCTAGAATACTATTGGCTGTAGCTGCCGGCATCTCTAAAGCCTATGCTCCACCACAACCGCAGTCTGGGGGAGGCCAAAGGCTGAGCTGAGAGGGTTTCTTGCAGTCTCCAGCTGGGAATGACGTCCCAACAGCCACAAGGCTATGCTGAGATTTACAGTGGGGAGAGAACTCAGCACCAATCCCTTCTTAGGTGCTGGGGTTTGTCTGTGGCCCAGACTGATCCGCACAATAGCCCCAGCGCTCCTGGGAGGAGCCCCAGGCTGCCTTAGCCCTCCTACCCTAGAAATTCTCTGGTGGGCTCTTCCAGTTGTGTGTCACGTCTGAGATCCAGCTGCCTTGCCCTTGTGGTCTGTGGCAAGTACTCCAGGGCTCCCTCCAGGGTCCTGGCCCAGAGTGCCTTCCCGGGCCTCCTCCCCAGCACCTGGGCCCTCCCCAAGCTCCAGGATGGTGGGCAGCTGGCCCTGTTTTGGAGAACGCTTGCGCAGGCTGAGCAGGAAGGGCTGGGGCAAGGAGAAGATGTCCACGTTGTTGCCCAGATCTATCCACGTGACACTGGGGAACTTGCTGGGGTCTTTGAGGGTGTCAGTGAGGTCCCGCAGCAGGGCCCGGGTGAGCCTGTTGCCGTTGAGGGCCAGTGTGGTGAGGCGGGGCAGGGCACTGAGAGCCGGCAGCAACTGCAGGACCATGTCATCCGTGAGGCCTGTGAAGCCCAGCTCCACGCTGTCCACCTGCTCTCCGCAGCGCTGCAGGTAGCCGGTGACGCGCTCCAGGTCCCGGGAGGTCAGTGGGATGCCCGACAGGTCCACCGTGTTGTCTGCAGGGTTTCCAGCCAGGACCGCCTTGAGGCTGAGGAGATGGGACAGGGATACCAAGGTTTAAGCAAGGGAGGTGGTTACCACCATGCTCTTGCTCGGCTATCTGAGGGGTTGTTTTGCCCAAAATGTGCAGCTCAAGCAGCAAGTGTAGGGGTAGGAGAAACAGGACAGCATCTGAACCCGTTTCAGTCGAGTGGGTGGGGTGGGCAGGGCCTGGGGCCAAGGCTGACACCCCTGAGATTCCGGGGAAAAGGCCAGGTGTTTCTGCGTGATTCCTGTGCATGCGTGCATCTTAAGTCCTTTGCTTGGACTGTGACCTCACTGAATTACTTCAGAAAGGAGCTGGTGGTGCGGTCAGTTAAATACAGTATTAAACACAAAGGTTAGAGTAGTGCTTTTCCATAGATGAGAGAGCGATAAACACAGGTTAAGCTTTGGATTCACTACCCTCGAGTGGCAGCTGAGCTGACCCCACCAGCAGCAGAAAAGGCCTCTGAGGCCTCTCTTTCAAGATGGGGACTCCTAGGTGGCTGCAGGCAGGGTGCAGGGCTGGCTGTCACAGCCTGGTGGCAGCCACTGCTTTCTGCAGGCTCGGTGCTGCCACCCGGTGCCATCTGTGGCTGCTGGCTCTCTCTATTCCCCGTTACTTTCTCTGGGGCCATTGGCCCTGCCACCACCCCTTGCTGGCCCTGACCCCTGTGTGCAATATCTTCAAATTCCAGGTGTCCAGAGGAGCCCTGAGGCTCCCACCCCAGGCAGGAGGGGAAGCTGAGGGGCCTACAGCCCGCTCCAAGTGTGTACAGCTACCAAGCCCTTACTGAGCACCAGGCACTGTCCTAGGCCCTGGGGTCACAGTGGTGACCAAGATGGACAAGAGCCCTAATTTTACTGTATAGGGAAACGGCGATAAATAGAAGGTAAGCAGCTGAGGAGGTGAGGCATTCCAGCATGGCCTCGCTGAGGAAGCAACACTGGGGCTGACTCAGAAAGAGCCTGGGCAGTCAAGGAGCTTGGTGGGAGTTCCAGCAGTGAGAGGGTAGGAGCAGAGGCTGAGGCTGGAAAGAGGGTGGCAGGTTCTGGAACCAGCAGGAAGGCCAGTGTGGCTGGGAGAGGGAGCCTGGGAGGTGAGGCCAGAGAGGGAACAGGGGTGGTCACCTGGCACCTCCTGGATTTCACCCAAGTGTGAGGAGCGGTCGCCCTGCCTGCATGGCTCTTGGATGAAGAAGGAACTGGACATTCACGGGTGTGTATCAGAAGGCAGCAGGGGCCAGCAGGGCTCAGACTGAGCTCTTCCACCCTGCAGCACTAGGGCCCAAGGCTTCCTGTCTTCTGTGCCCCACTCTGGCCTGCTCCCTAGCCTAGCTCTGTCTAGCTGGGAGGCACAGAATCCATCTTCCTGCTTTTCCTCCTCAGAAAGGAAGGAAACTCTGGAGCTCAGTGTTCACTATGAAGGAAGAGGACAGTCCTGTCCTCCCTGAGCTTCAGAGTCCTGTAAAGTGGACTCAGCAGTACCAAGACCTTGCCAAAGAGTCTCAGATGGCCTGCCACTCTGCCCTGAGGTCACCGTGAGGAAGGCAGGGGTGCTGCCTCCTCCAGGAAGCCTGCCTTCCAGGCTCACCCCCATTGTTTCCTATAGGGGTCATGAACCGTGCAGCATGCCATGGGGGGCTCCACCGGGCTGCTCACTTGAACATTCCTCACCGGAATGTGCTCTTGGCTGCTTTTTCCACCCGCCACCCCTTTGGGGGCTTCTCCCCACACCTCCTGGGCTCCAGCCCTTCCAGTCACCTGCCCCGGGAGCCCTGGCAGTGTGTGTGAGGGCTGGGCAGGTTTGCCCTGGGGACTGAGGCTCACCAGGCCTGTGGCTTCCTCTTCACCAGCCCTCGGTGCCGCCTCCACTGGGAGTGTGGGCTGAGGTGGTAGGTCAGCTGGCGGCACAGCTTCTCCATGGCGCCCAGAGCGTCGGCCTCCTGCAGAGGAACCACAGGGCCCAGTGTCTGAGTCATCAGCAGCAACTGGAGAGGCCCAGGCCGCTTCCCCACGCTGCCCGTCTCCTTGAAGATGCACAGCACTGCAGGCTGAGCAGGGGCTGCTGTGCTGGCCTGGTGTGGGCACCCTGGGCACCAGCAATGGTACAAACCTGTCTGCACGAAGGCCTTCATTTTTGTGGGCTCGTCCCTGAAAAGCCGAGGTGTTAAAGTCCAGATTTTAGTGACCTGGAAACAAGTGGCTGGAGCTGAGGGCCCGCCTCCCTCTTCAGGGATTCACTGTGCTGTCCCTGCTGTCCAGGCCCTGCTGCTGACTCACTTTCTCAGCACATATTACTGAGCACCTACTCTGTGCTAGGGTTAGGGGCGTGTTCTGGACAGCTGGGCTACAGCCTTTAGTAAACGTCCCTGGTTTTGTATTTCAACATAGTGAAGAGAGGATTGAAGTATTTTTACCCTTGTTTCTCTCAAAAGTGAGAAAAAAAAATAGTGAGAGGACCACCAGGCACGGTGGCACACTCCTATAATACCAGCACTCGGAAGGCTGAGGCAGGAGGATCGCTGTGAGTCTGAGGCCAGCCCGGGTAACAAAATGAGTTCAAGGCCAGGTTGAGACCCTGTCTCAACACCCCTCCCCCCAGAAACAAAGAACCAGCAAAGCCTGCAAAAAAATAAAGAAGACCAAATCTTTCCCAGCCCAATTTATTAGTCTACAGTACCTGTTTGGCCTGTCAGCATTTAACTTGGAGAGCCTGAATATTATGGGCTGTACTGTATCTCGTCCCCAACAATGGCTGTGTGTGTTTCTGGAGATTAAACCTCAGGCTTGTGCATACTAGACAAGTGCTCTACCAATGAGCTTCAGTCCTCAGCCTCCTGCAGAATTTACACGTTAGCTTTTTCTTTTCTTTTTTTTTTTTTGAGGCAGTCTTGCTTCGTAATTCAGGATGGTCTTGATCTCACTATGTAGCCCAGGCTGGTCTCAGACTCATGGTAATCTGACTGCCTCATGCTCCCAAGTGCTGGGAGTATAGGTGGATGTCACCATGCCCAGCTGTACATTGTCTTCTTGATCCCCAGTACATCAGAATGTAGTTGATGATCACATTTGGACACAGGGCTTCTAAAGAGGTAAATTTAGCAATCCAGGATGGCTGCCGTTGTCCATATCAAAAAAGATAAGGATGTAGACACACAGGAAAGCCTGTGAGGACACAGGGAGAAGGAGATTCTCCATAAGAGAATAAGAATAAGAAGAAAACAGTCCTGCCTATCTTATACTTCTGGCTCCCAGAATAGTGAGAAAAATAAGATTAAGCCATGGTCTGTAGTATTTTGTTACAGAGGCTGATCAGATTAACCTTTGTATTAGGTAGATGTTGGGAGCTGTTGAAGCTGGAGACTGTTCCATGTATGAGGCTAAAGCAAGGCCCTGAGAACACAGAGAGCCCACACAAGCCACATACACGAGCTGTTCCAGCTCCAAGAAGGCAAGGGGCCCAGGGCAGCCGGGCCAGCAAGTGGCTAGGCAGAGTGTATACATTAAGGTGCCAAGTGGTGGAGCAGCGCCTTCTCCCCATCAGGAGAGTGAGGGCCGCACCTGACCCCAGCTTGTGTCTTCTTTATTTTTCCATGTCTCATGGTCCTTCACCCCAAGAACCTCAAGAGTCCCATGAGTCCCAGCAGGTAGGTAACGTAGAGGTGATTTAAAGTATTCCAGGGATGTGTACAGGTTATGTGCAAATCCGATGCCATTTAATATAAAGGACTTGCACATCTATGGACTTTGGTATCTCCAGGGGTCCTGGAACCAAGCTCCCAGGGATCCTGTGGGAGGATCCTGGAGTTACAGGTCTGGACACATTCCTCATGTGAACCCCTGGCCAGGGAATGAGCTGAGGGATGCCCAGGAGACAGAGAAGGCACAGTCAGACAAGGGGAGCGAGCAGACTGCAGGCACCAGGGAGGAGGATGGTCAGTGAGGACATCCTCGGAGGGCCCTGCATCTCCAAGGAAAGGCCTCGGCCAGCACAGGCTTGGGGTAAGGTCATCCTGGGGGCTGGGATGAAGGTTGGCTTTGGAGCAAAAAGAAAAAAAATTGAAAATGGGGTATGAGCTGGGAATGGCACATGCCTGTAATCTCAGCACTTGGAAGGCTGATACGGGAGGATCAATGCAAGTTTGAGGCCAACCTGAACTGTATAATGAAACCCAACCTTAAAGATTAAAAAAAGAAGGGATATTACAATACAAATAGCACATTGAGCATCACAATCCTCCACTTTGGAATTGTTGGAAGCTTTTTTTTGTTTTATAAATTTTGCCGACAAGGTGGCTTTGAACTGATTGTAAGCCCCAGGCTGGCCTTAAATTGTGGGAATCCTCTTGTCTCAGTCTCCTGAGTGCTGGGGTACACCCCTATATCCAGCTTTGTCAGGGAAGCTTTAAAAACATGGATGCGCGGGTGCACCGCTGTGGCCCAGGGCTTTAACTGCTCTGCAGGTGATTCTGTTGTGCAACCAAAGTGGAGAGGCATCAGCTAAAATGATTTAAAGACTATCAGGATCAGTACGGGGGATCAGGAGGGATCACTCCGAGATTCCGCGGGAATGAGAGTTGCATGTCATCCAAAGCTGAGAACTGAGCTCAGCTAATTCCACGGGTTTCCCCAATCTGGGTGACCTTTCCTCCAACCTCTATGCCAAGGCAGCTCATAAGAGAGAAACAAAGCAGGAAGAAAGGGTTCAATGCACCACTTGTGCCACAGGGGGGCAGCCGTGAACGAGGCACGGACTGAGGGGCTCTTGCTACCATGGAGATGCAGGGAACCCCAGCCTTTTCACTTGCTAAACTGGGGCAACAGATGCAGTTACACAGGGTAATAGAGTTGAGCTGGCACTAAAGGTGAGTAAATGATTTCACAGCAGTGCGTTTGTTTTGCTGAGCTCTGTGCCCAGACATGTATCGTGTATATTTATTTGCTCAAGTGCGACACATTAGGTGTTTCCTCTCTGCACTGCATGTGTGACCTCACTACAGTCCTGGACCTCACATCAACCCTAACATCCCCACTTCACAGATGAGGGAACTGAGGTACAAAGAAGTTCAAGATATAACTTGCAGGATGGAATCAGGACTCACCCTACATCACCTGGCTCAGAGCTGCACCACCATTCTGCTCTCTGCTCTGCCTTCCCTGGAGAATCTGCCTTGTGTACAGGTGCATTCAAGGCATTTCTGTCGTTTGCATGGAGAAAGTCCTCCAACAAGATCACCCATTTTCTCCCTACCTCCTGCTCTGTTCAGGTCCCCTCCTGGCCTCCCTCTTGGGGAAAACAGGACTGGACAGGGCTGGCCCAGAGGTGGAGGAGTAGAGGAGGCAGCAGAAGAGGGGGAAGCACCATCTGTGTGTTTTGAGGTGGAGGGATGGCTGTCTCCCAGGTGAGAAGCAGCCATGCCTTGTGCAACCCCTGCCCACCAGCTTGTGACACTGGTGCCCCAGGTGACTCATGTCCACGTGGCCTGTGCCCAGCACCCCTCACCTCTGTTAACTTCCTTCTCCTGGTGGTGCTACCCTTTGGGCAACCGGAACTTGCTTCTAAGTTCCTGGCTTGTCCAGCAGTGGGTCCTGATCAGCTGCAGAGGGCCTGTCCTCTCCCCAGAACCTGAATATGACACCAACACACCCCCTGTCCAGACTCCTCTGGGGCCCTCCACCCTGACCGTAAATGGGAGGCCAGGAGCAGCCCTGTTCCCTACTGCCTGGGCAGTGTGGGAAAGGAGTCTCCAGAGGACATGGCAGCAGGGAGGGGGCAGGGACAGACCTCTGCACCACAGTTGCCTGTTTCTAGTACGTCCTTCAAGCTGGCCTGCCTTTGGGTGCGTGGACATTGCAGTATCTGTAGGACAAATTCCCTTCCTCACTTAAGTGGCCTGAGTGCACTTCTGTGAGTTGTGACAGTGGCTTAATGGAAGTGTGAAGTGTCAGCTCCACAGTTCTCCTCTGCCCATGGGGAAGGGAGGTGAGCACGGAGGTGGGTATGGTGCACCTGGGGGGGCTGAGCACTGCTTCCTCTGGGGTGCTGCCTAGTGACAATGCTGGAGGCCCTGGGGAAGCATCTGTTGGGGGGACTTCTCAGGGACTTGTTGGAAAGATGCTCCAGGTAGACCTGTAGGCCCATCCAGGAGCAGCCCCACGCTACTGCTCCCTCTCTCAGCTGTCAGTGGCCCCATCTCCTACTGTCATTCCCCAGGCACCTTCGTAATGGCAGCCAGGATCCCAGCAAGCACAGTCCTCCACTCACAGCCTCCCATCGTTCATAGATTCATTCAGGCATTACCCAGATCCTTATTGCCTAGTGTGTGTACTATATGCTGGTCACCATGGATTTGCAGAGAGCGCACACCGAACAGAATCAGAGATGGCAGAAGTGATAGTTTGTGACTGCTGGGCCGGGGTCATGAAGGGTACACTGGCTTTTTTTTTTTTAGGTACTGGGGATCAAACTCATGACTGTGCCAGGCGTGGTGGCTTAAACCTCTAATCCCAGCACTTGGGAGGCTGAGGCAGGAGGAGTTGCAGTTCGAGACCAGCCTGGGCTACAAAGTGAGCTCAAGACCAGCCTGCACTGCATAGTGAGACCATGTCTCAAAAAGACCCAAAACAAAAACAAAAACAAACAAACTCATGAGTGCAGGCTTGCAAGGCAGGCGCTGATGCCACTGAGCTAAACCCCCAGCCCGGTACCCTGGCTTTTGCCTCCTTCTTTGCAATGAGTTGCTATCAGGATGTGAAGACATTCAAGAGACCTACATGGCAAGGATGGAACCCTCCTGCCAACCCCCTAACATGTCATCTTGAAAGTGGACCAGGTAATTTTCATCAAGCCTTTGGGGATTTGCAGCCCTGATCAGTATATTTTTTTTTTCTGTGTCAGTACAGTGATGGCACCCAGGGTCTCACCCGTGCTAGGAAAACACTGTCACTGAGCTACATCCTCAGTCCCTGACCAATGTTTTGAGAGATTGTAAGCTAGAATTATCTAAATTGCTCCTGCCTGAATGAATTCTTGACCTATGCCAATTGTACAATAATTAAGGTCTGATTCAGAGAGAGAGAGAGAATTGAGGAGGGAGGGAGGGAGAGGTTGCTCTGTTCCCCAAGTTGGTCTCAAACTCCTGGGCTCCTGGGGTCCTTCTGCCTCAGCCTCCTGAGTAGCAGGGCTCACAGGAGGAGGCCACTGTGCTCATCTTCACACTCACTGTTTCCAGCCCCGAGTTTTGGGTCTTTTGTTCCACAGCAGCAGATGAGGTGCCTGGTCTGGAAACAGCGATCTTACCCTGGCTCCAGCTCACTGCTCCTGCAGCTGCCCCTCAGTGCTAACACTTTCCTGCTGCTGGGGTCTCGGGGTGTCTCAGTGTTCCCTGCTGATTTCCTTCATCTTGTCTATAGCTCTTTAAAAATTCCCAGTGGAATGTGCTTCCTGTTTCCTGCCTGGCTCAGGATGTATCTGCGATCAAGACATAGGACCCTCTAGAGTAGCCAACACATAAGCACTATCATTTGCATTCAATGTCCCCCCAAACCCAGTGTGCCAAAGGCTCACCCCCAGCTGGGTTCTCTTGGGAAGGGGTGGAACCTTTAATAGGTGGGCCGACTAGGAGGTCTCAGCTCACTGAGGATGGGCCTCCAAAGGGGGAAACGGGGCCCAGCACCTTCCCTTCCTTTACTCCTGGCCAGGAGGTGGACAGGACACCTAGCCCAGTGCTCCTGTTGCTTCCCAAAGCAAATGTTCAATGATTGAAACTTCCAGAAGTGAGAGCTAAAAAAAGCTTTTCTTCTGTTTAAATTAATTATCTCAGGTGTTTAGCACAGCAATGGAAGCTTATTAGCACAATCAGCAGGGTAACTTCAGGCAGCAGGAAATGGAAGAGAGAAATAAATGAAGCAATAAGGAGACAAAGCAGAAGGGAGCCCTGAGGTAGGCTGGTAGTAAGTGGGTTCTGCAAGGACAACAGGGCTCAGGTGGCCTCAGAAGGATGCACAGGCAGAGGAGGCCGGTGCTGTTCCAGACAGAAGGCTCACGTGGTTGGGGCTGAGTGTGGCCATCTAGAGTGGGCCAGGTCAGAACAAAGATATGGAGAGTTTGGTTTGTTTTTGTGGGGCAGGGGATGGAACCCAGCCCCTCACAGAGGAGGAAGCGCTCTGCCACTGAGCCACACCCTGGGCCCTGGAGCTGGGCATTTATTAAACCACGGCGTGACACGGAAGGTTTTCAGTGAGCTCCCTGTACGTTCCAGGGTAACTGTGGCATGAATGACCCTCTGGAGCTCCCCAGGGTACAGGAAGTAGGAAGGTAACAGTGGAGGCCAGGAGTCCAGTCAGAGGCTTTTCAGGAGCTCTAGAGGCAGGTTTGGCAGAAGGAAAAAGCGCCAGAGACAGAGAGAAATGGCAGGTTGAAGACCAGTAACTCTGGCTCATTTTCAGTGCCCTCCGCAGGCCAGCAGGGCACATTTAGGTCAGGGCCATAGATGTGCCCGAGGAATCTACGTCCTGCCTGCAGCCCTTCACCTGGGTGCATAGGCCCAGCCCCTGCCTCACTGGTGGCTGAGGCTCCCCAGGCTTCTTCCAAGGCTGCCACCTTAGCAGTGGGAAGCCTGTCAGTCCTCTGGTGCTGCCCAGTGAGACTGGGCAGGGGGAGCTGTTTCCTTTCCTCCCACCTCATTGCTGATGGACACCCATCCTGGAGCTAATGCCTCTGCCTCCAACTTCCAGGCCCAGGACCTGGGATGCTGGGAGCTTGTCAGATGCAGAGGTCAGAAGGGGAAGACCCTCTCAGTCCTGGGCCAGCCCGGGTGGCCGAGTAGGGCTGTCCATGTCATCAGCTATAGGATCCTGTGGTTAGCACCTCCCACCCCAGCCTCTTCCTCCTTGGGAAAGTCCTTCAAGAGAGTCTCTCCTGACACATGGCCTTAGGCAAGGCAGGAGACCTACAGGCCTACAGGCCTGGGTTTCTATGAGCAGAGCCTACTCTAGTGGCTTTGAAATCTCTGTCAAACTGCTTTAAGACCCAGCAGCAGGGCCCTGCCTTCATGGCTGACAACTCCAAAGCAGACCTGCTGGGCGTGAGCACACAGCCAGCGTGCAGGAGATGCTCACTGGCCTGTCAGTGATCACCTGGCTTCTCAGCACCGAGGTCGGGTGTGCCAGACACATGCCAGTGTCTCTTGTGATCTCTGTCTCTCTCTCCGTCCTCCCTGCCCTCCCTTGTCTTCTTCCCTCTCCTTTGATCCCCCCCCCCTTCCTGTCTCTCCCCTCTCTCCTGTCTCTCTGGTATTGGGGCTTGAAGCTTGAGCTCAGAGCCTTTGCACTGGTTATATCTCCAGCCCTGTTTGGTTTTTAGTTTGAGACAGGGTCTTGCTAAGTTTTTAACCTGCCCGAGCAGGACTAGGGCTTGTGTTCTTCCTGCCTCAGCCTCCCAGAGCACAGGAATTGCACCACCGCACTTGGCTAATCGTCCCCTTTAACTTCCAAGTAGCCTGGCAGGAAAGATTATTTTTTATCATTGAGGAAAACAGTTTAGGGAATCAAGTGACATGAGAAAGATCACACTGTGCAATGGACTGAGGGTTCCTGTTATCCTCAAAAGTTAGGAGGTGGGGCCTCAGGGAGGCAGTCAGGTCGTGAAGGTGGAGCCTGACAGTGGCCTTCAAAACAGGAGGCCAGCGGATTCTCAGGGCCTCTTTCTAGTGCACAGCGAATCAAGAAGGTGGTTGTCTGCTACCAAGAAGAGGGCTCTCACCAGACACCCTGGACTTGGACTTTATTCTCCAGAATAATGAGGAAAAGTCCTTCTTTTCCTGGTCCTGGTGATTGAACTCAGGGCCTGGCTCAGGCTAGGCAAACACTGTGGTACTGACCTGCATTTCCACCGTTTTAGATGATGAGACTGAGTCTTGCTAATTTGCCCGGCTGGCATTTAACTTGTGATCTTGCTGCCTCAGCCTCCCTGGCAGGACACTTTCTGTTATTTATAAGCCCCCCTGGCCTATGGCACTCTGCTAGAGCAGCATTCTTGAGGCTCCTTTTATGTTTCTGTGGCTCACTGGCCGTCAGGAGTCCAGCAGAGCCTGGCTGCCCCTGCCTTTGCAGCCCCTTCCCCCTGCCGCCCTCCCGCCTGTCCCCAAATCCTCTGTGTGGCTTGGCTACCTTTGATTCCTTGGCTCTGCATTTCCAGTGCCTCAGGTCTTGCTCAGAATTGTTAATAAAGGTCTTTTTCCTGTGTGCATTTTCTCTTGGCTGAGATTTGATCCATGCTTTTCAAACAATTTTGTTCTCTGAGAAGGCTCTCGGGGTGCAGTGTTCATTCTCACTCCTCTCCTGGGCCCCCCTCTCCTGTCCTGGGCCCAGGTGTGTGGGTGTGAACTCCCTGGCATGTGGAATGCACCGCATACCATAAACACAGGGCGCTTTTCAGCTCCTGTCTCCACAGTTGGCTAAATCAGTTCCTGGACTAGACTGTGACTTCTGAAGGTGCTACTTTAGAGGTTTTCTTTTCTTTTTTTTTTTTTTTTTTTATGTAGCCCTTTATCTGGTGCCTCATATGTAGTAAGCATTCAGTTCACTCGTTTGATCCTCTACTAACATTTTATTAATGTTTATTATTCATGTGTCCTATACTAGGGAGACAGTGGAGAGCAAAACCAGATTTGTCTCTGTCTTTTTTTTTTTTTTTTTTGGTGCTAGGGATTGAACTCAGGACCTCCTCATGCTCCCCAGGCAGGTGCTTATGCCCCTGAGCTAAATCCCTGGCCATACTTGTCACTTCTTCATCCTAAGGCATTTCAATTTGTCTTCTGGAAAAGACAGGGGTCTAACACTTGCAACACAAGACCCACCAGCAGTGTGGACCCTTCCTGTTTCCCCAGGCCTGTGCAGGCCTGAGAGGCTGGGCATGGCCGAGTCTCAGCTGAGTGCTTCCTGTGGCCTAGACCCCACAGCTCCTCTCCCCTGCACCTCCAGGTGTCCGCCTGCCAACCCCAGCTCTGGGCTTTACTGGAGCCCAATATTGCCGCTGTTTGCTGACCTCAGGTCTCCTAATTCCCAGCCTCTCACTGCTTGCTTTAGCTCAGAGTTTTGGCACTGGCAGCCCCAGAAGCCAAGAAAAGGGGGCAGAGGAAGCCAGAGATGGGGTCAGTCCCAGGAGTCTCTTTTGCCCTGAACAAGCTGCAACTTCAGGGTGATTGCGGTCAGGTATGTGCCCTTGCTGAGGGGGGGAGGGCCCGGAGACCGTCCCTCCAGCTCTCCGCAGGATCCAGCTCTGAGGTGGGATGCGTCCCTCTTTACCTGTCCGTGCTGCTCTGGCCTCCTGTGCTGCCACAAAGTAATTGCTTGTTTTGGAAGCTGCTGGAAACTGAGGGATGGGAAGGAAGGAACCAAACCATAGACAAGAGCTCCCAAGCAGGGGTTGAAGAGCAGTCTTGGGGCCTGGAGAACCCCAGAATTTTTCCTACTGTGCTATTGGGGATCAGACAGGAAGACTGGGGTGGTGGGGGTGATGTGACAATCTGCTTTACGCTGCGGTAGGAATGAAGGCCACACGGTGCTGGAGTTCCTACTCTTTTTCAGATCATCAGTATATGAAGAGTATATCAAGTGTTATTTTTTAAAATGTTGACAGTGAATTTATCCATGGGCCCAACAAAGCCTTTGTGGGTTGATGCTCCCAGTAGGAATTGCCTCAAGCCCACCTGCTTGCTCTTTAAAGGAAGGGGCTTTTCTTCCTTACACCCTGCAAGACTCTGCCCAAAAATGCGCCCACCTCACACCCCAGGGCCAGGCTGCTTAGGCCACAGCTGCCCTACCGGCTTAGGGCAGTGGATGTAGCGTGCCAGGCTGATGATGAGGTCATGTGTGATGGGGTCCACCAGGTTCCGGAAGCTGGCATAGCGATAGAGGACATCGTCCAGGGAGGTCGACTCCATGCCCAGGTCCTGCAAGAGCAGAGGAAGCCCAGAGGTGAGAGGTGGGCAGCCGGGTCAAGTGCCATCCAACTCCCCTGTGACCCCAGAGTAGCAGGTGCAGCTCCCTGGAGGCAGCTCAGCCTCCCTCAGATCCCTTGAAGGAGGAAGCTACAGGACATCCTACAGAGGACCAGGTAAAGTCCCTGACTCTGTATCTCCCAGCAGAGGACGAGGGGGCACCCACACTGGCATCTGCAGGCTCTGTGGCTCCTGCAGGCCCTGGATTATGAACCCCTCCCCAGCTTCTGGGCTTCACCTCTGGGTTTCCCCAACCATGAAGCCAAGGATGGCGGGTCTCAGCCCAGTGGCTGCACCTCCATGGGGGTGTAGTGTGGAAAGCTCCCTGCCTGTGAGGTGACTGACTGCCAGTCTTTGCCTGTGTTCCCACTGTAGACAGCCCAGCTTCAGCGTCCTTGCCCTGGAGGTTTTGAGTTGTGGGACCCTAAGGAGAAGCTGCCAGGTCCCCGGGAGGAAGCCCCCCAGGGCCCCAGGAGGGTGCACAGTGGTGTCCTTGTCATGGAGGGGAGGAGGATGGTGTGAGCAGCACCAAGTGGGTGGAGCCGAGGACCACAGGAACAGAGGCTCCTCCGGGCTGAGGGACTCGAGTCTGGGGATGATGGCGATTAGGGAGGTGGTGTCCAACATCGGGCACCTTGGCATCTGAGGAAACCGCAGAGGCAGAAACCCTCTCTAACTTTCCTCTCAGCAGCTCACAGCCTGGTTCCAGGAGCTGGCGGTGTCCCCCGTGCACTGGAGGGAAGCGACACCTTTATCCTTGGAAATACACAGACCCACAGAGAGTCTGAATGAGCAAGCCCTGCTCAGGGTATAGTACCGTCTTCTACCAAAATTCTGCCCATAGAAATATGCACATTTCTGTTTTTCCTGTGTGTGTGTATGTGGGGTAGCGGGGATCAAACTCACAGCCTCCTCAGTAAACTGTGTTCCTAGCCCTCCCCTCCCTGTTTCACTTTCTGTTTTGACTCAGTCTCACTGAGTGGCTCAGGCTGGGCTAGAACTTGTGATCCTCCTGCCTCAGTCTCCCAGACTGCTGGGATCACAGGCCTGTACTACCAAGGCCAGCTTCGACTGAAGATCTTGCTAGATTCCCATAATGGCCTTGAACTCCTGATTCTCTGCCTCAGTCTCCTGACCAGCTGTCACTACGGGCATATGCCACCATCCAGGAAGATTTCTGTTCCTTTAGTCTTTCTTTTTTTATATGCCAGGCCCCAGGGATAACATCCAGGGTCTCCTGCATGTATTCTGTTCTCCATCCCTTCATTTTAGCTTTAAGAAGGGGCCGGCTTGGGAGCTTTATTTCCTATTTTGCAGAAACGAAACTTGGAGGCAACTTCAGTGCCCCTGGCAGGGTCTCTGGCTGCTGAAACAGTGCGGGAGACCAGGAGTGTGGTGATGGCTCTGTGGAGGTGGCTTCTGAATCACTGGTTGCTGAGGTCTGGAGCAGGGTCCCCGCAGAAGCAGGGACAGCACCTGCCTCGACTTCTGTCCCTTCTGGCTTGGTTTGCTGTGCTGCATCCTGAGCTGAGCTGCCTACCACTGCCAAGTTCGAGTTTTCTCATCTGTAACAGGCATCAGTCACCCAGCAGCACAAGCCAGCAGGACAAAGCCAAGTAACCTGGGCAAAGCGTTTGGCAGGGATGTCAGTGCCCACGAGAACTGTTCCCCTGACCTTCTCCTCTCCTCTCTCCCCTCTCCGGGATTCTCCTAGGACACCGAGGCCTTCACTCCCTCTGTAACCAGTCTTAACCCCTTTCTACACTACAGATCCACCTGATGTTTCTAAAGCCATGAACTGTCCAGAAAAACGCGGGAAGCTGGCAGGACAGGGACCTTGGCGGTACACGAGTCCATGCTGCCCTCATGGTCTGGGCTGTGTGGACACATGGGTTCCTAGGACACACGCTATTACCCAGCAGTGGGCACACACATGCCCTGCCCTGTGGGCAGAGGAAGGCTGGGGCTGGAGACACAAGAGAGCCCCAAGGCAAAGGGCATATGTGGCAGGGTCTCAGCAGGCTGTGTGGTCACAGGACCGTGGCCCAGCATCCAGCTTCTCACAGCTTACAGCTCTAGGCTCCCCTACCTAGAGGCGGGGAGGTGGTGATTCCCAAAGGTAGAGGTCAGAGGCATGGGGTTGTTTTCTTTCACAGTCTGTTGCCAGCTGGGCTGCTCCTCTGTGGCTGTCAAGTCAAAGCCAGCCTTCATCCCTCCTCTGCTTTGCCCCTGTGCACCCCCTTCCTGTGGGTGCAGCCCTGACACCTAGTGGTCACAGGCTGTGGGTGGACCCCAACTCCCTGTAAGTCTGTGGGCCAGAGATCACTTCTTGGGAACTGTTTCCCCATCTGTGAAGTGAGTAGGCACAGGGCAAAAGGAGTTCCTAAATAGTTCCCGAGCTCTTGGGCAGGAGGTGGGCATGGGGTGGACAGGGGTAGCTCAGAGGGAGCCAGTAAGATATGAGCAGAGCGGTTCATTTTCAAACAAAGAAAAACAATCAAACAAACAAACGTAGCTGTGCTGCCAAAAAGAAGTTGGAAAGCCCAAGACTGGAGAGATGGTGTTTTGGGCTTCCCGTGTCCCTGACAGTCCCCATCTTCCCAGACCCCTCCAGTTCCAGGTTAGTCCAGGTCACTCCATCCCGGAAGGCCCTAGAAAGCCCACTGCTAGCCCAGGAGGGCAGGGCTGAGAAGATCCCAAGCTGTCCTCCCAGAGCCCTCTCCCAGAGTTCCTTGCTCCTGTCCATCACCCGGGGTGCCCTGGCGCTGACAGAGCTGCCCTCTCTCAGGAGCGCTGTCTGCTCCGTGGTTTGCGGCTTACTGAGGCTGGAGAAAGGAAAGAAGGGTGGGAGAGAAGAGGAAGGGCGTTCTCCGGGGACATGAGGGACACCAGCGCCCTGCCATGAATTACAGCTGGGGTGGGCAAGGCAGCCACAGGTGACACAGGTGACACCAGACAGGGGCTGAGCAAAGGCTGCTGCATACTTGATTGCTTTACTCAGACCCCGCCTAAGTCCACAGAATGCTAGTGCTGTTTTAGGGCACTTCATCCTGAGGACCTGGTGCCCTCTTGTACTCCTTTGGCTAAGAATGTTTACTGGAGGTGACTGTCACCTCCAATCAGTGGCCACCCCTGGGGCTGGGTGGGAGGCAGAGGGGCAGGCAGATCCTCAGGGTATCCAGGAGACCTCAGCCCCAGAAGCCAGGCTCCTCTCTGACTCTGCACCCACAGCTGGGCCAGTGTCGCCCCGAGGGGCGTCTTGAGTTCTGCTCTGCCTTGGTGTGGTGCCTGCTCTGTGCATGAGGGACGCATTGGAATAATCAAATCGAGATGTGGCCCCTACAGCGCCAGCCTTGGAGTGGCTGGTGTGCCACGCAAAGATGGGGCCCTGAGGTCAAGCCCATCTTCCTCACTGTGGGTAAACAGCACCCTCTCTGGGAACTGTGGACACAGCAGCTGCTTATCAGAGGTCTGGGAGCTTATTATTAATCTGGAAGTGCAAAGAGTCACTCCTGTGGGGACCACTCTTGGAGGCCTGGCCGAGCTGGGCAGTCACCAGATGCTCCTTGACACAGGCTTACAGGTGACCCAAGCTGCAATAACCAGGTTTGAAGACTTGTTGCAAAGGGACGAGAGGGGTCAGGGAACAGAGGTTTCAGAAAGTCATCAGGGGGTGGGGTGGAGATGGAGAGCAGTTACCTAGCACAGGGAGGCCCTGGGTTCCATTCCTGGTGCTGAAAACAACACAGATTCACCCGGGAAGTCAGAACAGCATACCCAAAATGAGGTCTAAAGCCCTCAGGGAAGCTGGGGGTGGTGGAGCAGCCCTGTAATCCCAAATACTCTGAGAAGCTGAGGCAGGAGGATGCAAATCCAAGCTCAACTAGGGCAATTTAGTGATTTAGCAAGATCTTCTTTTAACATAAATATTAAAAAAAGACAACATCAGAGTGTGAAGGCCCTAAGTTCAATCCCTAGCACCATCACAAAACCAACCAACCAACCCACCTCAGAGTGGGGAGACCTTAGAGACCGTGGTGCTGGGGGACGGCTCTGCAAGGGCCATTTCTACAAGTATGTAATCCATGTAACGCTGGATTCTCCTCACAGGCATCAACCAAAATAGTCTGCTACAAGAGGATGCATGCAGAAGCACCAGGTCTGAGAATCCCGCTGTCTTCTTGGAAAACATTAGAGATTCATAACAACCAAGCGGAGGTGGTGGTGCATTTCTGCAATCCTACAATGTATCCGAAATCTGGGAGGCTGAGTCAGGAGGAGAACAAGTCTCAGCCCAGCCTGGGCAACACAGTGAGACTTGCCTTAGAAAAAAAGATGCTCCCCATGTTTATTTTCTGATGGAAAACTATTTCTGTAAAAATTTATTTCTCCTGTATGTATTAATTTAATTTTCAATTAACAAAACAGCTTTATTGAGGTGTAATTCACATATCACACAAACCAAAAAGTGGAGAGTCCTGGTTTGACTGATAGAGCACATGTTTCATGTACTCGAGGGAAAGTACAAAATTTAAAACTTTTAAAGAATGTTTGCAGATTTGTACAATGATCACCTCAATCAAATTTAGAACATCTTTGTCATCCAAGAAATAATTCTATAACTATAAACCAGTTCCCAAACATATACCACTAAGGAACCCGGAAACCACTTAGTTTCTTCTCTGGTTTTTTTTTTTTTTGTATCAGCAGTTGAACTCATGACCTCACTCGTGCCACTGAGCTGCATCCCCAGCCCCTTTTCATCTTAGCCAGACAGGGTTTCACTATGTAGTGCAGGCTGGCCTTGAACTTAGTTTGTAGCCTAAGCTGGCTTTGAACTCAAAGCAATCCTCCTGCCTCAGCCTCCCAAGTACTGGCATTATAAGTGTGCACCACTATGCCAGGCTTTCTTATTAATTTAAACAAGTCAATAAATATAAATAAAATTTTAA